TCATGTCTGTCAGTCTGATAACTTCTACACAAATCAACAGTCTGCAGAGCTGTGCTGACAAAAGGCAAGGTGATATGCCTTTATTTCTTCCACCTTGCAACTGAAATTCAACACTAACATGAGCAAATAAGAACATTCACTCCTTTGTAAAGGAAGCCATTTGTTCAACAGCTTGAGTAACTCTTAAAGCTTTATATTGTACAACAGTGCAATATTGTTAATACCATGATAGCATACAGATGTCACAATGTTGAAACAGAAAAATGAAAGACAGAAAGAAGTAATGAGATATCCAGGATTTAAGTATGATGAACAATATATGACTGTTGAAGTAAAAAATAGAAGTGTCTGTAATAACATATGCATCTGAAAGAAATAAGGTAAAGTTATTAATAAATTAAAGTGCTAAGCCAGTACTTCCGGTCCTGTTCTTAGAGAATTCCAATTGGCAAAGGCTCTGGAAGCGTGGGTGCTCTGGAACACAGGACCTTGATTTGAAATCCTGACTTTCTGGGCACAGATTGTAAATTGCTAGTGAGCTCATTTATATGATTAAAAAAAATAAAAATCTCAAATGAATAAAAAAAAAGGACTCTCCCTTTTACTTTTGGCATGCATTTTATAAAAGAAAAAAAACCATCATTTGAAGGTAATTTAATTCTATTCTAAAGCATAACACAGAAGCCTGTGAGAGTACAATTTCCTTGTATTTGGGATGTATGATGTTATTTTCTATTTTTTATAAATAGTCCAAAGATCCCCTTTTTATTTTTTTTCTCCTAAACAAGAAACCAATTCTCCAGCTCAAAGAAATATTTAGATCAGCCCTTTACAGCTAAGGAAGTAGATGGTAAGATCCAAAGCAAGCAATTCAGATTTTGGAAGCATTTTATGAACTACATTCTGAACCACTTATGTAGTCTAGCTAAATTTTTTATGCTTTGCTTTTTAAATAAACAAAATGAGAGCAGCAGAATTCATTTATGTTTAAAATTTATGAGAATAAAGTAATAAAATAAAAAATATGACATACTAATGCAAATGCTTACCATTTAACATAAAATTCTGAAATAAGAATTACAGACAGCTGTAGCTTTAGTCACATGACTAAGTTCTGTTGTATTATAATTTACCATTCACAAGAAAAGTCAAGAGCATTTGTTTTCCATTTTGTTTTAAACAGTGAATGACAATACAACATTGTAGTGATTCTTAGGAAAGCCTATTTGACACATTTTTTTCCTTCCATTAAATGAATAATAAAAAAAAATAAAACCCCTGAAGACACATATTTGATTTAAGTGTGGAAAAAACCCAACGAAGTAACCTCAGCTTATTCATATATCAATGTAAAACATTTAGCAAATTCAACTGCATTTAGTAGCCCACTGATTTTAACTAGAATGCCCTGAACATAAGCAAGTGGAATGAAGCTCATTATTGCAAGAAATGCTTGGCATTTCTTAACTTTGTAAGTCAAGAAACATACAAAATAAAATTTTAACATATTATTAATACTTATTTCCTGGGCAATCACCAACACTTAACTCCTGCAACATATGTGGAGAGTAAAAAAACTAAGCATTTTGTTAGACTAAAAAAATAATATTGGATCTACACATGTACCACTGGAATCAGTTTCATTTTGGCATCCGTCTTCCACTGAAAAGTGCCCGAGAAAAAGACGTGTGCAGGACAACAAAATAAATATGTACTTAGTGCACGGAGTTTTTCACTGACATGTTTTATACCTTTGACCAACTGTGTTCAGAATCAAAGAATAAATTAAAAAACTGGCACAGAATACTTTGAGCAGATTAATTTTGCTCTGACCTCCCTTAAAATACATATGACGAATCAGAATAAGAAGAATTATAACACATCCATTTTTTATACGACTATACTTCGTAACACTTCTCCTTATTAGTTAATTATTTGCAATAAAATTAACTACAGTAAGACTTTCATTAAAGTCTAGGAATTTTGAAAAGATCTGTATAAACTTGGATTATTTATAGACAGATATATATATATATACACATATATATACTGAGGTACAGTTTATTTAAGTTTAAACAGAAGATATCCCAACTAAGCAAAAATGTCAAAACAGCATTTGAAATCCATAATTACCTTAATTAGAAATTCTTCTCTGCCATATTAAAAAAGCATCAATAATAATAAAAAAATCCCCTACGGTACTAGTCCCCTAAGAACCCTTCTTGGGTGGCAACTTGAATTAAAGCATAACACAGTATGTTGCACTATCACCTATACTGTGTTTCTTTTCCTATTCTCCTGTCATAACAAACTGATCTATATGTCTCCTGATAAATAATATTATTCAGGTTTCATTATACATGCAAAACTAGACGAAAATCACAAAATAGATATTTTTTAGCAATAGTCAATCATGATTTTATAAGCCACAAAGATGTCATGTTATGCATTGATAGACTCTAACTGGAGACAGAGCACTAAGATGCTATCTGCTGATTGTCATAAATGCTCAGAACATTTATGGACCTCAGGTTCAGACATGTAAAATCAGTGTGGTCACAAATGTTATTGCCATATGAAAGCAAGCTCAAAAAGTATTCATGTTAAAAACCATAGAAAGATATTTTCATTGAAGTAGTGACTTTTTATACTATCATTTGATTATACTTTCATTTGGGTGTTTAGTCCATATCAGTTTTTGTGAGCACTCTGTTTACAAGACATACAAATGCAAAACTCATAAACCCTGACATCTGATATTTTCCTCCACTTGAATTGTTTTTAAAAAGATTGACTTAGCTTGTGACATTCCATTCAACTACAGCATAGGGTACTAATAAGCCAGTCTGACTCATGTATATGATAGTTATTCTCTAGCACTATCTCTGGCTCTCTGCTTGAAAAACCTCTGTACATCCAACTTTTTTGTTTCACTTTAAATCATACAAAAAATAATGATCCTTGAACAATGTCATTACATGGCATTAATGACTAATGAGGGTAATTGTTTGAGGTCATTCTTGTTTACTAGTGATCTTCAAGAGAAGCATTATATCCCAGTCATCAGTACTTAAGTGTTGTTCTATATTTTAATTGCACAGTGCTTGTTCCAAAAACGAACTTATTTTTAAAACAATGAACACCTGTGGTATGTGAGCCTGAGTAAACATAAATAAATGATAAATTCAAAGTTGAAAATTCTCTGTTGACCTAATACAGCTGAAGTCCTTGAAAGTTATTTCTCATTCTGTGTCTTATTACAGGTAGAAAGTCATTAAAGTCTCCTCCCTGCTTCTTTCTGAAGTAATCAGATGCAAAATTCCTTGCTATGATCTCAGAAAAAATCTTTTCTGACAGTGCAATGCACTATCTATTGTGCTACGCAGATAACAAGCAAAACCATACAACTAATACACTGTATAGTCACATTTCTGAAACAAGGCCTCCCAGTTGTATGCTATTGTTCAACTGTATGCAGATGGTTCCTTGCTAGGTTTTCTTTGCATATTCATAGTAAAAACTTTAATCAACCATTAACCCATTCCCATTCGTGGCAAAAAGTCAGGTAGAAAATCTTAAGAAGTAGGATTCGTGAGTGTGATCTTAAAAAACCCAATGACAGGCATTTATAATAATGTTAGCAAAGCACATCTTTATAGATTATTTAAGCATGTCTGAATAAAGTCACTGAGTCAGTCATCTTCTGAAGGACTAGTTCTGCCAGGGCAAAAAGAAACTAACTAATAAGGCCATTTAATTCTTCATGTAATAAAAAAGAGAGATACTTCTCTGTTCTTGCTGTTTCTTTAATTTTCTTTCTATGTCTAGTCTTGGTCATATCCAGTGCTAGTCTGTAATGTTATTTATGCATTTGACTCCCATATGTTTGGGCAGAATGATAAATACATATTAAATCAGTAGGAAATGAGGGGACATTTCTGGTTAGAAGAATATGCTGGTAACTTCTCATGTTGAAAATTACTCAGATTAACAGTGTATATATATATATATATATATAAATAATGCTACCTCGCTCCTCATCCTTGATATGGATGTCATTTCATTTCATTTTTGAATTAAAACAAAGCAAGAATTAATAATGACAACAATCTACACGAGAAACTCAAGGTTCAAGGTAGCACCCTGTCCTCATGTCTCCAGAATCTTCTGTATTTCAGGAAAATGTTAGCACTGACAGTTGTCTTTTGAACCAGTCCCAAGAGAAATTAAAGTAAGACTAAAAATTCTCACAGTTTCATTTCAGTTACTATTAATGTATTACCAAACAAAATTAGGCAGTTACTACTTTCTTTATAGAGATGAGGTACAGAGATTAAGTAGGTCCATCCTACAGAACAAATTTTTCAAAACTGGAAACTGAATTAAGTTATTTTGAACATTTAGACCAAAGTAAATATTTCTACATTATATATAGAAAGATCTTACACTCTGTACTGATCTGTTACAAAAAGCTGCAGGATGTTACAACACTTACATGGATTAATACTGCATTTTCAATAGCATGCTCAGTAAAAACAAAAATGAATATTTGGCTTTTAAGACATTGATTAATTGTGGATCACAAATGTGAGATTTCTTTTGGTTTACATCAAAGTAACGTTGCAGCAGGATACTTTTTAGTAGAAGAATATTCCTTGAACTCTAGTCAGATTGCATATCCAGTTTTGAGAGAGACTGTTTTTCATTCTGCACTATTATACAACACTTCTTTTTGCCTGGCACTTGACAGGCATTCCCATCCTTTGCGTTTACTTTACTTCACTTCCTCAAAGCTGAGGCTGCAAAAACACAGCCAGCAGCCTCATAGAGCTTTCCATGGAAAACTGCCATTCTAAACTGGCACCTAACTTCACTTTATTATTCACTCAGGGAAGTTTAAAACTCTGAGATAATTTTAAATATTTATGCCAGTAAACGAAAAGTAAACTGATGAAAAGTATAATAATAAAAGAAAAATCGAAAACAATGTAAGCCATTACTGAAGCAGCTCTTCTTGTGAAAGCTCTGACGTTCTTTGCTTGCCAGTCACCAGCTCCAACTCATCCTTCAAATCCTGGATTTCCTTTTTCAGCTGGACAATCATCTGTAAACAGCAAGGCATAAACCAAGCATCATCTACAAATAATAGCTAGTTTATGATTTCTGCATTAGAAGGCTGAGTTTAGCTAAATATTATACTTCGGTTTTATCTTTTTTTAAACAAGGTATCTTTTTTTAAAAACTGTTAAAATGCCTTAAATACATCAAAAACCTTTTTTTTCTTTTTCCATTTATAAAACAAAGAAAAGTCTTCTAAACTCAGTAAATTCTTGTGTTAGAAGACATGGCTGTACAGAAAGAGTTCAAAAGATTTCTTGCAAAAGAGAAATAAAAGTTGACATAGGAATAAAAAGAGCTTTTCTGTCTTATTAGTTTTGCCTGTTAAGAATGAAAGGACACTTAAGAACTGACATCTTTGTTAGAGATAGGGAAACTACACACCAAAAGTGATTTTTTTTTTTACTTTCCCTTTAGAAACAGAAGTTCCAAAACTTCCGTTTTGGAATTATAGCACACTTTACTTGTAGGATGCATCAGTTGCTAACAACAAACTAATATAAGGCAACAAAATTAAATTGCATTATGAATAGTAATGACTGTGAGAAAATTGCTTGGAGAACTGAACTCGATTTTTAAATTCTAATAGTTCATTATTGGAACACTACTTTGGGAAAAAAATGTCTGCAAGAAACCATATTTTACAAATGAAAATATTCTAAATATGCATTTGATGATTTCTTTTAACCCTAGACCTACTGTTAAAATATTTTTTACAACACAAGTATGAAAGGCTAGCTTATAATATTTTATTTAAGAACCTATTAAAGTGATGAACTGTTAATTAGAGAAGTTGCAAGAACACTTAGAGAATATTGCAGGAAAAATGTTTTAACCTAATTTCATATTGCCCCACTCTGGTGCCACACGCTGATGTAGTCTGCACCACTTACTGAGTCAAGTAAATAAAACTTGAGGCTGGAGTATAAAATGGTAGACAGATGAACGATATCACCATCTCTACTCAATGTTCAAATTTGCTAGCATAATTAACTTCAATCTGACAACAACAGAAATACCAGTTTCAGGATACGGATAAAAGATTGATTTTCAAGTATTAATAAGACAAGCAAAAATCTACAGAAACGGAACTATTCAATGTCTATTTTATATGAAGGCCAGAGGAGAGGAGGTTTAATTCAGGGTCAAGACTCTTATTTTCAGTTTAAATCTTTGGTCATGAGTGAGAGAGGTTCAAAGATGAGCAGCTTAAAAGTACAATGAGTACAAATTCATCTTCTCTAGTAAGATAAAAAGTCAGGAAGTCTCCATTATGTAGAATAAATTTTATGCAACAGTCAGTCTTAACAGATCTATCAAGAAGTATTATGAACTCCCTTTATAAAGCATGCATTCAACTCACAGATGATAAAAACTGCCAATAAATTGTGTTGGATTTTTATGAAAAAAAAAAAAAAAAAAAAGTCCTAAGTTGAGTAGTTTACTGAATAATCAGGTTGCACGCTGGGAATGTACTTAAGGTAGTTCAGATGGCAACAAATTCCACAACGAGCACAGAGCCATATAAAGTCAAGGTACCTGGGTACCCCTGCCTTTTCCACAAGGGGGTATGGTTTTCTAACTCTCACGAGTCCCCTTTGCTTTACTTGCTAAATGATCCTGCAGAGCAAGACATACCAAACTCGTGGAGTATTGCTCCACAGGATGTAGTAAATGCTCAGGAGCCTGCATGTGTTACACCTCAATCAAAGGCTTCTGTGGCCATGGAAGAAATCTTTTGCACGATTTGCTACTATAAAGCCTACACAGGAAAGAAAAAAGAGGACAGAAAGACAGAAATGAAGAAGTTGTTCAATGCCTACTGGGTTTATTTTTTGGCCTTTCTTTCTTCTTAAAGTGTTTTACTGTTACTATTAGAAACTGCTTGGAGAGATAAATAAATGAAAAAGAAAAACAGCAGAAAACCTGACAAGAATCTTCTATTCCCACTGAATTTCAAGGACAAGAGACAACAACAACAAAAAAGCACAACCATTAACAATAACTGAAATATGATAATTACCATTAAGTAACAATTAATGAATTGTCACTTGAAATCATTAATCATCTAATCCCCAAGTTTTAGACAACAAATGCTTCTTACATTATATAACCTAATATTCTGCAGATTCTAGAAATCCTATTTCTACCTGCTTTACTTGTCTTCATTTTTTTTCCTAAAGGTAACTTCTCAGAATTCTTTCTTCCTAGCTAAAATGTTCTTTGACCAATTTCAAGGAAGAACTGTATCTGTATGTTTGTTAGCTTTATAATACACAAATCATTTCAGTGCAGCAGTGTGCTTTCACCAAGTGACTAGTAATCTTAGTATATTTTTAAGTGGTTTAGAGCCATCCAATTATGTGTTATTATGATTTAGAAATTAACATTCTGAAAAAAACAACACAAAACCAATAATGAAAGTGACCATTACTCTTCAGATGCTTTAAGAGCTGGTAAAGCCTTTAGAGGTTTTATAATTGTGTCCAAAAGAAAAAGAGTAGAATGGTAGTTATTTTACAGAAAACAGTTGGAACTTGCATCTAAAAACAATTTATTGGGATGATTCAGTATAAAATTCTCGACATCAGTTTGATTGCTACTGATTATTAAAATGTAAAACAAGCAATCTCCTTCTCTCTGCCCCCAGACAACTCTCACCAATCTGGGGTCGATTTCTTCATTAAGAACTGCTTCATTCTTAATAAGAGCAACTCGCTGTGCAAATCTGCAGGTTGATATAGATTCCTGGAAGGAAAAGAAAAATAAAAGAAAAGAATTTCAGTTAGCTTTGCACTAGGTAAGTAGACCAGACTGCTAATGAAGTCATTAAACTATGTTTCTATTTTTTGAGCATTTTACAGAAATATTCTAACATTTTGTATTCCAAAATAACAATATTCAAAGGAAATTAGGTTAGCATATTAATGAGAGTGACATATAAAACTGTTAAATCATAGTACATATTTTATTGATCCAGTTAATCTCCTAACCATTTGTGTTTCAGATAAGTCCCTGACTGGCACTATAGGATAAGAAAGCCATGCTGTTTAGAAGGTAATAAGGTTTGAATTATGAGAAAAAGAGAAAATTATCGAAAACTATTTTTTTTCTTGCTGAAAATGGGACTAGATCATTTTATGTAAAAGACAGCAGGAAAAGAGATGAAGGGAAGAGTGAAGGTCCAGGAAAAATGAGAAACAAGCTGGGAGACTTGGAACTAGAAGGCATACAGGAGAACTGTGATACCAGATAAAAAAATGTCAGATGATCTAAGATGGGATGCAGGAGAAAGGAAGGCAGAAAAAAAAAGATACAAGACTGAGTTTGTGGAGGAAACTCTTTGATAATCAGTGCGTACTCCCATCTAGGGCACAGAATGAAACCAAAGATCCTTATATGTACTGTTCCTCCTTTGAAATCAGCTGATACTTGAATGTCAGACCCTGACAGAGGACTGTACGATAAAATTTTCTGAGATGTGCTATACTGCATTTAAAATGGAATTTACATGTACTTTACTACTGTAACAGAATTGATTTTCAGAATCAAAGTAATTCTGCAGTTTTCAGTCCTCTAACATATGAAAATACCAAATTAAATGTTATGTTCATATAGTTCTTTTTCTGCAGGACTTCTGTCTCTGTCAGTGCTTGAAGGGGTGGTATCTGAATTAGGGTTACATGAGGAAAAATACTAGTGCTTCTTGCCAAAACATAATATACACAGAGAATCAAAGGAAAGGAAGGTCTTAAACTAAGACAGTTGTAAACAGTATTAGCTGTGTTTGCCTCTGCTGTACAGTTCCTGTGCAGTGATGATCAGCTAATGTGATTTTAATTAAGTTCTGTACATATATTGAGTACAGTTATATGTACACTACACATACATACATTTCCATCAGATCTCTTTGCCCTGTTTAGTGTGAAGCATATATTAAATTAACGAGTAGCTAATCAATTCAGTTCTCAATGTTCAATATGTAAGCTTACAATTTATTTATTCTATGCCATGGAAACAGTCATCAAGCCTGACATCTAATTTCTTAATCATTTTTCTACCATGCTTATCATCACAGCACCTCAGGGCTTCACAAGAATTAGTCAACTAACCCTCTAGTTATTGCTTTGCTGCAAGTGTGTGGAATGACTACACTTAACAGAAAGGAAAGTGAAGTCAAAAATACCAAAAAAATTATATGCAGTTGCTATCAATATACAATCTTCTGTTCAAAACAGCTTCCATTCAGCTTCAGCTACAGATATAATAAGTAATATATCTATAATTCAGAATCAACATCTTCATTCAAGCACTCCACAAAACTAGCACAAAAAATGTGATGTAGTGATCTGAAAAATTCTGTATAAACTCATTGGTAGGAGTAGGGATATAATCTAGTTCTCTAGGATAGTATTCCATTTGTCCTCTTCATATGAGGGCCCTTTCTTACTTTGAGTTCTCTGCTTCATTGTTTTCATTGCAAGAAACAACACCGGATCCTTAAGAAAGTAGCTTTTGTTATGCAACTTCAATTCCCACTGGGTGGTAGTTCTGTCTTGTGCTTCATTCGTGAATGAAATGTATATCCCATGGGAAAAAATACGCAAACATGCAAACCAAAGATAATGACTCGTGCACTATCCTCATTCTGACATTTTCTAATGACTTATCATTAATTGATAGTAATTGACTTACCATCTGTTTATATTATTCAGACATATTAACTTATCATCTGTCTATATTATTTGGACATATCAGATTGTGGGGAACAAGGAAGAGATTTTGCTGGTTTTTTGTTTTTTGTTTTTTGTTTTTTTTTTTTTGGGAGGACTGAAGAATAAGATCTGTTGTGTGGATTGTATATGTTAAAGCAAGAACATGAAAACTGTCAGTAGAGTACTCTGCATAATTGCTTGGGCTAAATATTCCCAAAATAGAAATCTAGAACACAATATGAGATACATATACCTGATGAATTGATATACAAAAGGGTGCTAATCCCACAGAGCCTAAAATAAAATTAACAAACTTACCCAGTTGCATTTGTAACAAGACAATATGCTTGCATAATTACATGTTTGCAAGTCTGAACGATCTGTTTTCATTTAACAGCAAAGTCCATTTTCTAAAGAAAAAGAAGTCTACAACTAGATGAAGTATGGTTTTAGTATAATGCTTTCCACTGTATTTCGGAAAACAGTCTTAGGCTAAATAGTTTTTTTTTTCTTGTTTATTCACATTAGAATGCTTTGATGTTAATAAAATCAGGAAATAAATATATTACAAATGGCTTTGAGTGGGGGTTCTATCTATTCACATCACTACATATTTTAGAATAAAACAGACTAGACTGTTTCAGTTGAAAGGGATCTACAACGATCATCTAGTCCAGCTGCCCGACCAAGTTAAAGCATGTTGTTAATGGCATTGTCCAAACATCTTTTAAATACTGACAGGCTTGGGGTATCGACCACCTCTCAGCCTGGTCCAATGTTTGACCATCCTCTTAATAAAGAAATGCTTCCTAATCCAGCCTGAATCTCCCCTGGCACAGCTTTAAACCATTCCCATTCATTCTATTGCTGGATATCAGGGCAAAGAGCTCAGCACCTCCCTCTTTGTTTTCCCTCCTCAGGGAGTTGTAGAGATCAAAGAAGCCTCCTTTGCTTCAAATCAGAGAAGCCCAAATTCCTCAGCCACTTCACACAGGACATTCCTTACAGCTTTTCACCTGCTTTGTTGCCCTTCTCTGGATGCATTCAAGGACCTTCACATCTTTCTTAAGTCATGGGGCTCAGAACTGCGCAGAGTCCTCAAGGTGTATGCAGACACCAACACTGCATACAGCAGGATAATCACTTCTTTGTTGCCCTGAACCCTGAGGAACATTGCTGGAGACCAGTCTCCAGCCAGATGTAGCCCCATTCACTACAACCCTTTGATAAAAAATACAGCCCTTTTTGTAAACAAAGAGCAGAAAGCATCACTACACATAATTCCAGGGAAGGAAATTAGTAAAGGGACATAAAAGTATTTAAAAAATTTCCGTAAGTCCCAAACTACCCCACCCAATTCCCTCTCTCCCCTAGTGAACTCTCCAGCTGTCTACCACACTCAATGAAGTCTTGACTCCAAAGAAGTCTAACAGAAGTTCTGTCAAGGCTTTCAGTGGAAATGCATTTTCGTAACTCAAAAATTTATTCCTCAGGAAATCAGTAAATTTAAAAAAAAAGAACAGTTCAGTACTAAGTGCAAATCATTTCCCAACTGCTCCTTGACTTGACATTACTTAGATAAAAGCACATTTCCTAATGGATATGTACATATCCTAGCACAATTTCTACAGATAAAATTATCTCCTGGAAACAAAGTTAATTTTTTTTTTTTAATAAGGATAATAATTAAAGCATACACATTTGAATTGTAAACTACAATAAAATTCAAAAGAGCAGAATCTTTAGAGAAGTGGAAATATTTTTGTTCAAAATAGATAAAAATAACATACATCTATGTTTCTTTTGTCTATAGAGAGTGTTGCTATCATGGTAGTCATGCAGTTTCCTCCCAGGCTGTCTCTTAGCACTGAAGTCATCATAGAGTTTCGATAAGGAATGTGGGACCGGTTTTTCTCTGCAAGGGCAATTATTACCTAAAACAATAGCAAAAACAGAAAGGACTTGGAAATTTATATACCTATTAATGACTGACACATAAAAGAACAAAAACAATCTATTCAGGAACTTCTGATACAATAAAACTATGCTTATGCACCTTAGCTGCAAACCTGCTGGTTTTATTGAATGAATTTCAACTTAAATTTCAGCGTGTTTATATGTCTTTGTAGGAGTTGGACCTGAAAGACCAAATAAATTACATTTTATCATACCCTAGCCTTACAGTCTCTCAGCAACATGGAAAATGAACATGATAAACTCAAACCCACAGATTTTCCTAAAACACAGGAACAAACTGAAAATCTTCCTCATACTTTTTTGTCTTAACAATAAAATATGCATAGTATTCAAGTAAGAATTTGCTCAATATTTGCTAAAGCATGCTTTAAAAATTACACATTCTTAAAGCATGTGCTTCTTAGATGGGTTGATACATTTATTTCTGAGAAAATGTCTTGGAAAGCAAAGCACAAATAAAAGGGTGCATGATTACAATGTACTGCTGGAAAGAAATGATTCAGTTCAGACTATATATGTCTTGGCCAAAAAGGAAATTGTACACCTCCTATTCTCAGTTTCCCTTCTCAGCTGTTTACATTATGAGACCTAATTATTATTAAATAAAAGGCCAGATTACCCCATGATCTCCTGTGATGTAAAAGATTTGAACTGTTATCAGGCCAAGGACTGTACCGAAAAACTGTAGCTATACGAGTTGTGCAAGCTCTCCTAAATCATTAGGAGTTGGTTTTCCTTCAATAATAAATATTACATTCCAGTATATATTTAATTTATGCTGCATTTACAAAAAGTGTTATTTTAGAAAATTTAGTAGCAACTTTTTTTGTGGCACTAGTTTCTCTTAACAGTCTTCAGAAAGTTAAAAGTTAAAACTATAAATCTTACACTGGCAGCCCTGACAGACATGAATGCATAATATGAAAATTACTATCCTGTAAAGGAATCTGGAAAGCCATTCCTGGATCAAGGTTTTCAAATCTCATATTTACAACTTGTTATATAGAAACATGTCAAAACTTTGTTGGTTTATAACATTGCATAGAAACCTCATAGTAGTCTAGCACATACATTAATAAGCACACTGTCAGCCTCTACCACACAGAAACTATAATCTGAATAGACAAGATGGGAAAAGAGCCAGAGGGAAGATATGTTATTTCCATTAAAAATGGGAACTTTGTTACAGAGAAGTTCATTTTTTCTGAAGCTCATGTAGGAAGTCTGTAGTGCAGGTGGAATCTGAACCCTCCCACACTAACACTGGAAAGTTTTGTGACCAGCTCTTATGAAGCAAAAGCCACTGTACTGTCATAACACAGAAGATTTTGGTCTTAAGTCTCTTTAATACAACCTCACCTAAATCACTAAATCAATCTTTACAATCCAATCAAGGAATCTAGAATAGAAAGAGGAGAATCTAAAGGAGAGGGAAATAATGTTCTTTCATAAAGTGAGAGAAACTACCTGTACAGACTGAACCTGGGTCCTCTAACAGCCACAAAATATGATAATCAGAAAATTGTCTCATTTAAGAAGGCATTATTGTCCTTTTAATACAAAAAAGGGTGGGGTTTTTTGTTGTTTTTGTTTTGTTTTGTTTTGTTTTTAATACCGGAGATCTAAGGTTAATAATATTACTAAACCAGGGCTGTAATATGCAATATGCTGAGTGAAATCAACATAATTTAAGGCAGAAAGTCTCATTTTGAGTGGGTCAAACAAACCACTTTAAGGTCTAGTTAATTTTTTAAATGTGGAAGCTGCCAGAACTATAGTTACTTGCATCCTGTATGACACATTATGGAGTAGAGTAGGTACAATCACTCACAAATGATTTCACTGAAATGTATGGAAGCATTGTTAAGCATAAAGGAAGGTCTGAGACTCACAAGTGGTTCTGACATGATATGAAGTGTGTCCAAGGGTCCCTGTTCCTGTCCACATCCTTTATGCAAGGACTAGATTTGCACTAGCACCTCATGCCAACAGGCAGCCAAAACATGTTCTCAGAGCATCCTCAAGAGATGAGGATTTTGGGGTGCTTGCAGGTACAGAGCTATCAGGTACATCGTTTCATGTATCAGATGCTCTGAAGCCATATGCCAATCTCTGAGGTCTTTTTTTATGTATCCCATCCTATCTCCCATTTCTAGTAGAGTTTAGCAGCTTAAGCTCTGGTCCTTACAGCAAAAAAAAAAAAAAAATCAAACTCTGTTGCTGATGTCTTGTAGTAAATTACAAGCATTCTTACTTTTTGGACAACATATGCTTATTTGCAATATATATGACAGGTCCTGCTGGAAATAATTCACCCCAAAATCATGATTTTCTAATCAGAAACAAATACATGTATTTCAATTTAAATTATTTAAAAGTTTCTGGTTTTTCTGTTACTCTAGTGTCCGTATATGTTTATTAGGAAACACCAAACAGAAAATTATCTTTTATATAAGATGTGAATAAATCTAGTGTTTGATGACTGGCAGTAATTTCAAATTTTATTAAAAAAACCTTTGGTAGGTATGGGTAGCAACCACTCACTAATGAATAAAATCATTCAACATTCCCTAAATGGAACACGTGTTAAATGACAGTTAACAGGCATATTCATTAAAGCAGTGAGAACATTGTACTCTATTATTTTTGGGAAATAATTCCATTATAGTGTCAAATCATGTGGCAGTATCACTGTCAATTTGCAACTCTAAGTTTGGTCCAGGATACTTTATGCTGTGCATCAGAAGGGAACATCTACATACACACAGTTACAATGCAGTTGTAATTCCAGAACATGCTACTGCATCTCTCAGACAAAGAAAAGCTACCCAGACATGGTAGTAGGGACTTCTAAGTTCCTGATGCCATTTTAGATCAGCTGCATGACACTATCTTCATTTTTCTCTAGACACAGAGGCCACTTGGAGAAAAAGTGAGTTTATTTATTTGAAGATTTTTTAAACACACTGTGAATATTTAACAAGTAGACCAAGTGTGGTAACACAGAACTCTGTTCCCATTGTCATTTCAATAAAAATCATTTTACATGACTATTCTATTGTGAAAAGTGTTTAAAAATGGCATAACTTAACACTAAACCACCAGTAGGCAACTAAATATCTGAGAATGTAAATAAGCTGATTTGGAGGAATCTATATACTTTAATATCAGTCACTGAAGGGTCAGAATTGAATGGTTTAATTCTCACTGAACAAAGAGGTATTTTTTATAGTCTTCAGTATCAGAAAACATTTTTATTAATGATACACAATCCTAGTCAGAACCCAACGTGCTTATTTCCGACTGTATTTCTTCTAAAATAGAAATTAAAAGTTGCATGAAAAAAAATATTCGTTTCTACAGCACTTCAGACCTGAGTATTTGAAAACACACTACACAGATTATTAAAATCAACCTCATAAGGCTCATGCAATGTTGCATTATAAATACAGTAAAATCATACAGTAAATAAGGATTGTGAGTATAATTTGTAGGATTCTGAAGTGGTCCACTTTAGAATCACTAATCCTTATCACTCCCCTTGAGTAAAACTGAAATACAGACTTTTTTTTCAAGGTAAAATTTAAACAAATGGGGGGGCTGAAAAAAATTCAGGGTAATAGTAAATGACTGACTGCCACCTGCTGTGCTTTAAGCTTCTTCTTTTGACAGATGAAATATCTCTCATTGTAGGTTAAATAAAATGCAAGAGATTTGTTCTTGTTAACAGGAAAACACATAACACAGAAATGAAAAATATTCTTCCCAGCAAGTGGAACAGTTATATTTCCTAATAATAATTTTAAAGAATTGTCACATATAGACACCCACAAAATTTTCTGGTTTTATGGATTTCCTCAACTGTATATTTTACTAAATAACACATATAGTGACATGTAAATTAAAAAGGACAAGTTTACATTTCAGAGTTAAGCATTTTTTCTTCTCTCTACCCCCTTACTTCTCCCACTAAATGAAAGCCTCACAGACCTGATGTGGTCGTACATAAACATTTTTAAAGAAGCCTTAGGAAAAAATACTGTATTCTCCATCAGAATCCCTCCAAATAATTAATTTCTGGCAATAAGAACAGTGTTTACTGTACTGTGAAAACAATATTATGTATTCAGCCTTAGGAAGAACTTAATTTGTTTTACAGGTGTAAAGTCTGAAATGAACACTTGAAAATCTTCAATGATTGCAAATTAATAGTACAGCATTCACAGAAGAGATTTCATTCATTGCCAAGTGTTTCTTACCTGTACTTGGTGCTTTACAGCATTCTAAACATCGAATGTACAAAACATCACAGTAGATCAGGGAGATATATATTAAAAACTTAATAATAATTACAATTAATTATTATTAACAAAATAATAATTAAAAGAATAAATTAACAATTATTTAATTTTTGTAAAAATACAATTAATCATTGTTAATAAAATCTTTCATCTCCAAATTTTCCATTCACTGCTGCTATCTTAAGAATTTTTTTCTTAAATTAGTAAGATTAGTTGAGAGTAATCTATTTTCTCATTATTTGCCCTTTCCAAAGAGGAAAAACAAAAAGCAACAGTGAAAGGGGGATAGGGATTTTAGCATACCTTGAATCAAGAGGCTAAGTCTTTTCCAGTAACAACAGCTGAATGACAAAGATTTGTGGAGATTTATTATCATCGTAGTTACATCTGTGAGTAGTAATAACTAATTATGGTAGTTACTCCATAAATACATTACCAAAGGTAACTCCTGTCTTAAAGAGATCAAGGATTCTCATTGGTAGAGGAATAAAACAACACATGTTGTTTACCTAGTAATTTACCATATTACAATGCTTGAACCAAATAAAACCAAAACACTTTAGTTCACTGATCCTTGAGTGATACATCCTGATCCCAGCCGTGGAAGGGGAAGAAGATTACAAAGAACATTTTTAGTAGAAATATGGATGCAATCTTGCAAATGTATTTAGTACTGCAGATAAAACAGGAAAAGTATTTTGGAAATACTACCATGTATACCTACTATAATCTTACTGCTTAATTTTTAAGCTTAATTTTTAAGCTTTTCCTAAATTAAAATACGTTAATTTAAAGGAATAGCTATCAATTCAATTTTTTAAAATTGCAATAAATATCCTAATATATCAAGTTTTCCAAAACATTGCACATTGCTAAGCAGGGATGTAGTAAAGGAAGAAATGTTTTACTCTATTATACCTGTTCCAAATAATGTAATGACAAGTTGATATATTTGGCTTCTGTCAGCAAGTGACCTCCAACTCCAGTCTTTGCAACACGTTCTGATCCAGCAAGGTCTACTAAGTGCAACTTGGAGCGTCTGATAGTTGCAGATCCAGGTTCCTTGCTGGAGACGTGAACAGTGAAAATGCAGTGAGATCGGCTTGAGGCTTGATTCATTGGTGTCTACAGTGAAAAGAAAGGAAGAATCCTCAACGTTCAGTGGGAAAAGAAATTTAGGTTTTTATAGCTCGACAATCTGGCAATCAAAATCCCCTATCCCCCTGAGATCAGCTCAGTTGGTTAGAGTCTGGTGCTAATAACATCAAGGTTGGGGGTTTGTTGCCTGTCCAGGCCATTCACTTAAGAGTTGGACTTGATGATCCTTGTGGGAACCTGTGACTATGTGACTGAGCACATTAGTAAAGCAAGTGGTCTTACTATGCTAAGGAATATTAGAAAAGGGCACCTTGATCAGAGGGAAAGTTACTAACTCCTGATCTCTGAGAGGTTATCAATTTCCCCATTGATGCACACTTTTTTCTGTTTTTTTTGTTTTGATACATAGCTACCACTATAACTAAGACTAGGACTTTCCATAAGGCTTCAGACTTTTGCATTATTACTTCTATCAAAAAAATTAACTTGGTAGAATCAGTGTCAGAATTTTATGTGACATGACAGAGTTTTCATATTCATAAAAATACATTAAATGTATTTATTTGGAATAAACTACTGCCACACTTCCTTAACTAGACACATGGAAATTTTTGGTCAATTTTTATAGATGCTCAGTTTTAGCATCACTTTAAAGGTTTTCTCAATATACTTGAAATGCAGAACATAAAATTTTAAACAGCTCTTAGTTATTTAGATTTCAAATGACCATATGCCATCACATATGCACTTTTCTTTTCTTAAGAAGACATATAAAATATCTTTAATCATCTAAAACACCTTTCATTTAGTTGTATGAAGATATTGTTAGAAACTTTAAAAGAATTCCTTAATATCCTCATTTTATAAATATCCAAAGCTTTAGACTATGGAGATTAAAGGTTAGCACACAGATAGTATTTTTATTTAAAAACTATAACAAGTATGACAACATTGTTTTTCGGGCATAAATGCAGAAAAATAGGGGACTGAAATAAATTAGCAAATTAATATTATTTACTTAGCAACTAAATCTATATTTATAGCTGCTGAAAAAGATGATAAAAAATTCTGGTTATATTGTCTACATTAATCTCTTGTCTATACTTTATTCCTCTGTAATTATCTATTATCTAATTATCTATTCCTGAGTAATTATCTATGTAGGCATACCCTGTGATTCAGAATAGAAATACCAACATATTGCCTTTTTTTACATAGTCTGCTTGCAGATGTTAAAACAGTCTGCCTACTGCAGGCACTGAAGATGTTGTCTTATTAACACAGAAAAGACAGCTCTTAACAGAATGAGTGCAAGATGAATAATCCTGTAACAGGAATAATATGGACAGCTATACTGCTTGCTTCAATTGTCTTAGCTTCCATTTCCCCATACTTTTTTTCAGCCTTAATAGTGCCAGCAACTGAGCTGTTTTTGGGAACTGATTCAGTTCAAAGGAAAAAAAAATAAAGTCTGCAAACCATAGATATTTAATCTGGATTGGTTTCTCAATTCAGCCACAGCACAGCTATGGACAACTGTTCTAGTAAAATACCTGAAAATGGCAGCATACAGGGCGTGAACAAGTAGGTAGTGTGCAGGAACAGCATACACTTGTAGTTGTTGGTGAGAATTCTGTATGTAAATTACAGCCTTAGCACCATTTTCTCTTGGGCTGCTTTATCTAATAAAGGCAAGCTCAAAGGGAGAGGGAGAAGAATTTTGAACTTTAGTTTATACAGATGAGGAATTTTAGAATTTGCAGTCCTGTGAAATGAGCATCAGAACATCAGAGTGCCATGAGGTCTTCAGAGGTGAGAAAATGAAGAGGAAGTGAGTTGTAGAGTTGGAATGAAAATAAATAGGCTCAGGGAAAGGTGACAAGCAAAAAAATACTCCAAAACTTACTTAAAATGCAGGTATACTAAGAAAAAGTTATATGCTGTGAAAATGTACTTTATTCAGCAATTCTGATTCCATGATTAATCAGAGCCAGCTTCACTTATTTTACTAGGACAGCTATAATTTTATTGCAGCTCTGTGAAGCAGGACTGGATATTTTATTTTTTTCCAGCTCAAAATCCACAACAGAATTAATATTTAAGGTCATTCTCCTCAACAGAACTGATATTTGAGGACATTTTGCACTATAGATATGCAGTCATACTATACTGCAGACAAATCTAAGCAGACAAGTCTGAGATCAAATATCAGTACAGATTCAGCTGTGGAAATAAAAAGTAAAGGTTGCTGTAAAAGAAGCAGAAGTTACCATACTTCTGAATATTCTTAAGTAAACTTGTGTTTCACTATGCAGCAAAGCCTCATGTATTTCAAAATGTGCTTTTAGTCACACCTGTTTAATGCCAATAGAGGCAAAAAAAAATAAAAATTGAAGTATAAAAGAAAATAATTTAAGGACTCTGAGTTCCAAAACAGTGCACTATTTCTTCTATTCAGTCCGTACTGTCTACTGCAATACACTAGCCACAACTTTATTTTGTGTGTTCCAAGTAGATTTGGCTGGACTGGCCATTAGAAATTCTATTGCTTTCCTCTCCACAGACTCCTTTTTTCATGTGAATGAAAAAATGAATGAAGCTGATTTGGGAGTCATTGGCTAGAATCCCAAACTCATATTTTTGTAAAGTCCTTCTTCAGAGTAGAATCATGGTTTAATAAGACACCAATACTCCTTTTAACAATGTAATGCTATCTTTGCTTTGCAGTTCCAATATGTAGGAAGCTCTGTTAGAACTCTTGCAGGAAGCATAAAGCAATAAAAATTTAAACTGTTAAATGGGATGAGATCGTGAAACATTAATTGCAGTCATAATCTCCCACACTTTGCTTCTTTTACCACATAAGTAGATGAAAAGCACACAACAGAAATGATTACTTGTCAGCATCTTCAGTTCAAAACCAAGCCTTTTTTTTTTTGTTGTTCTTTGGTTGGGTATTTGCTATCTTAGATATGCAACTTCTGAGAATCACCATTCATCTTTTTAGAAAGTTTGAAAACTGAAAACCAAAAAACAAAAATTTCTGGACAGTGTCTCAGAGCCTACTAAAATGTTCCTTTAGTGGCTTTCAGAGTTCATTTTGGCTTTGTTAGCAGTATTCAAACCATATGTATATGAAATCATCCTCACACTAATTTGATGTGATGAAGGGAAAAAAAGAAGGAGGGGAGTGGCCTGGTTCTCAGCAGATGGTTGCTATTGTGAGAGTTATATATAGAACAACTGATGAGCAGTTACTTACAAAGAAATAGTTTTTTTCCAGGAATTCTGTGACATCATAAACCACTTAAGCAGACTTTGGATGCCTTGTGATATCACAAGAACACTACAAAGGAATTAATGCCAGGTCATCTGCTGCTGCCCATTTGTGGCAGGGTAAAAGAGGAATTCAATAACATTTAAGATCACGACTTCATAAAGCAACAGTGTTTCATTTGGAAACAATGAACAAGGCATATTTGAAGCCAACCCAGACTTGTTTCTTTCCAGGACCAAAATATACCTGTTTGCTGAAATTAAATAAATTGTATAGAAACTTTGTGACTTTAACTATTACATTTATTCATACAATGGTTGCAAGAAGGTGGTTTCTACTTAAATGAAAATCTACAGCACAGTAATCCTGCAAGAAACATCTGAGTTGGATGTTTCTGGCAAGGAAAATGCCATTAAAATGACCAAAAATTTGCTGGAGTCCAAGTTGTTCATCTTAATCTAATTTTTACCTATTTTAAGTCAACACAACACTGCAGGAATTCTTCCCTGTGCAGGAATTTATGTATTTCCCAAATATTTAATTTGTTGCCACTTATTATAAATGTTGTTTTCACTAAGAATAGCCATAAATGGATGCTACTGGTCTAAATAGAGTTCTTAATAATTGAGGACCTAAGAGCAAGTTTCTTAAATAGGAGAAAGACGTGTGAAAAGCTGTTTGAAAATCACCATTAGACTAAGAGAAGCTGCTACTATCTGGAAGAATAGTGTGTTGATTATAGCTGCCAAAACACTCTGACAGAGAAAATACATAAGAGAGTTCAGGACTGCTGGGACAAAAAGATTTTACAGGTGATAAATGCAGTTGTTCAGTCCTTATTGCAAACCATCTCCACTTGGCAGCTTATACCATTCCAGTGGAATCTTTTCTTCCTTAAATCAAAATATTTAGACAGCAGAAGAACGTGAATTCCCTGTGTGAGTAAATTAGTGACTAGCCAATGCATAAGTGAAGAAAGTCTGATTCTGAAATTTTGCATTTTTTTGAGAATGAAAAGGTACAAAATTTTCTTTAAAAGAGTGTTTCTTTTTCCTCTTAAGGCTTTTTCACTTTTTAACTTTTTGAAGAAGAGCAAGTCAAAAGAGAAAAGTACTGATAGCATCCAAGACTCATATCAAATTGATTTTCTCCAATCTCATGCTACATTCAAAGGGATATCTGTAGGAAGAAGTTACGACAGCTACAGTCATTTCACAGTTCAGATGGATATCTCTGCCTAATGAATATAAACTCCACCAGTTCCAACAGAACTGAGCTATATGGAAGAGTACGTAAGTTGATGATAGGAGGTTCTCTCCTTTATATTTGGTAGATGAGTGAGACCTTAATAAATCTTTAGTTTCCTTTCTAAATAATATGGTGCAAGTGAAAGGGCTCTTCACGTGTACTTAAGTACACTTGACATAGTCAAAATTGAAAAATTTTTGCTATGAAAATATAAGGATCAGAATAGGTGCAAACATTTCCTGAAAGCAATACTTTATCTTTCCATGTTTAATAGAAGTACGGTTTCACAGTTAGACCACAGGAGCTCAGCTAACTTTTAAAGTAATTAATACTCCCTGGTGAGGATATTATTAAACTTTATATTATATAGTGCCTTTTATCCATATAAATCCCAAAGCATTTTAACAACTATTCAAAGTAGTATGTACAACTAGTGATTTCTTTATCACACCCTGAAATGAAAGCACCTGTGCCGAAATGACAATGCCATGTAGTGCTAATAATACCAGGTTTTTTGGAGTGGAAATAAATTAATAATTGACACCAATGAGGAATCTAGCAAAGTAGAAAATTTTAATTCCTTCTGGAATGCGGCGCTAGCATGCATTTTTTGTCGTGTCATTTAATCTCATATGTTCCCACATTCAAATCCTATTTTTCATATTGTATCCAATAAAAAATGCAGTCAAACACTACAAGGTCTTTCTAAATATATTCAAGAGAATAGCAATGGACAATAAATACAAACAGAATGAGTCCAATTCAGAGGTCACAAGTCAGTCCCCACAGCTATCTTTAAATCTTTAAAAGTTCCATTCTTTCTTGAAATAAATGTATTTAAACATTGCCAAAAGCTTACTGCTTCCCCCATGTGTACTTTGAACATTTTAAATGGTGGAACATACACAATACTGTGTAGTATGTATGCAGTACCAATACGGCGTAGTATGTATGGTCTTCCAAATTAAAAAAATTAAGTACTATAGGTATAAAACCATATACTGAAACATCTCCTTCCTCATTAAAATGAAGTACTTTTTCATTAGAGGAAAATTAAAGTCTAGCTGTACATACAACTGCAGCACTCAGACACATTAATCTCAGATAAAGATTTTACAGTTTGGAAATCAATGCATGCCCTTGGGAGAGAGACTATCTGACTCTGCTATGTTAAGAGAAATACTAAAAAATACCAAGAATTCTCAAAATCACAGAGGTTTAGGCATGTTAATTCAAAGGACAAAGATCATAAGAGATTCCCATCACAAGAACTTAGAGAAGACCACTTCAGTTGAAGATATATTAACAGTAAACCAAAATGAAATGGTTTGTGAACACTACCTAAATGGCCAAACACTTATTTCTGCACAGGAGCTTTATTAAGATACTGCTGCTACGACCTGTGTCATATTGCAAATTAGATTTTGAAATCCCCTGTTTGCATGCATATCAGATACCTAAATCAAAGCTGGCTTACAAAATTAAAATACAAAAAATGAGTTCAGATTTTATAACCTGTCGCTGCAGATTCTCATGCATTCAAATGGAACAAGAAACTGGGCACTATGAGATAACCAAAAAATTTAGGCCTTACATTTGGCAGAGCTGCCAACAAAAGAATCAGTTTTTTGGGTCTGATCTCTGCCTATTTCTCTCTGGAAAAATATGAAACAAAAAATTCCTATTTGGATTTTTACATTATTAATTTTTTGTGCACAGATGTCTCCCATCTTACCATTTCCACAACTTGTCAAAACTAGAGGAAAGGACCAGTTCTACACTCACTAATAAAGTAATCCTACAAAAATTAGATTAGCTTCCTTTTTTCCCTTCTCATGAGCTATATAGTTATGTGTGGGAAAGAAGTGTCAGTTATAAATGTTCCCATAGGTTCTGACATTTAATGAATGAATGAATGAATGAAGCCTGTAAAATACTTCTAATGTTATGATCACTTTCTTTTTAGCACAATCAGTGATGAAGGAAAAACGTAGCCTTCAAATCACAAGTTAGACTGCACTAGCACAGGTGATGCAGAAATTAAATTGTCATTCTTATTTTCAAAATAATCAACTCTTCAAAGAAAGGCTATTTAAGGGATAAAGCATCAGACTGCAATTTTAGAGGCTACAGATTTCATATGTGATCCAAGACAGTTGTCTGAGTTTTTCCACAGCCAAACTTGTCATCGTTAAAAAAGATGAATCAAGCATTTCTTTTACTTTCTTTTTTATTTAGGTTTATTAATATTGCGGGTTTTTTTTTTAGTTTACTTAAGAGGGTTCTAGTCTTGAGAGGTCAAAAAGTATTATCATCATTAAGATTTAAAAATATTAATCTCTGAAGAAGTTATGTTTTAGGTCATAAGTCCTCTTTCTTAGATGTCTACATTAATCTACCATTTTTGCAAACACTGTTCTCTCATTCTGATGTTATCATATAAAGTACCACAGTCACCTTAAGTGCAAAATGCCATATAATAATGGGGATAAATTCTGTAATGCTAAGACGAAGCAGCAATCAGTAAGTTCACTGAACTGTACTGCAACATACCTGCTGCAATCATAAAGGAAAAATTTATGACATAAGTACATAAAAAAAACTTCTACAATGAAATCAATCTCAGTTGGAGTTTTTAGAATCATACTAGCATTCAGACTAAGAAAAGTAAATATTGTTGCAATATGTGGTAGTTATTCCAAGCAAGTATTCTCAGTATTTTTTCTTTTAAGTATTTTTTATTAAAGATCAATGAAACAATAACTTTATAGTGTTTATATAACAAAAAACTCTTGCAAAAGCAGCAAAACTGATGTTGGCACAGCATTTGCTTACCCAAGCTATTTAGATTAGTGAATTCTCAACTATTCGGGTGCCGCACAATCTGATGTCTATTCTTGTTGTTTTCTAGCAAGTATTAGCATGTTCAAAATAAAACTAACAAGTTGTAGATTTAAAAACAAGCTAAAGAGCATTTTCCTCATACAATTCACTTAAGACATGGAACCTTGTGTCACATGAGATTTCATGATAAAAATCTGGCAGGGTCAAAAAAGGCATCTGGGCAAATTCATGCAAAGAAAAAGTACAGCAAAAGTCATTAGTTTATAGTAGTCTGAAACACATACGAATGAAGACTAGGAGATTTTTTTTTTAAGTATCATTATTGACTTGGTTTATCTTTTACTCATCTCTATATATTTTGCTATTGGCCATTACCTCAACTTGACATTTAATGACTTACCATGTTTATTAGTCTTGCTATTTGTTCATAACTTTCAGTGTTTGGGATATATATTCTCTTTCCAAATACAAAACAAAATTGCCCTTTACAATTGCTGATTTATGATCCTGTCACCCAGCAGCGTATCATTCTTTAAATATTTGGTCTCATTTTCATAGAGGGCCTCTAGACTGATCAGAGATTTTCTGAAGATCTTTCTCCATACAACGAATTCTATTTTTCTGTTGACCCTGAGATTAGCTCAGCTGGTTAGAGCACAGTGCTAATAATGGCATAGACTGTGGGTTTGATTCCTTTATGGGCCATTCAGTTAAGAGTTGGACTTGATGATCCTTGTGGGTCCCTTCCAACTCTGAATATTCTGAGATTACTCACTATCATGGTAGGTTTTAAAGCTTCTGAAATCAATGTTAACTTTTTGTCTCCCTTACTACACTGTTTCAAGTTCCTCTCTTCTACAATTTTTCCATTTCAATATCATGAAGCAGTTCCTTGACTCAATACTCATGTTTATCAACAGCCCTTAAATTGATTATTTCTTGCCTCTCAAAATGTAACTGTTGAAATAGTCCTTCTTGAGAAAGAAAAAACAAGTATTTGTTTTGACAATTTATATTTTGTAATCAACTGCTTCTTCCCCTGTGCTCAGGTGTACGTGGTCAGCCAGCAAGAACACAGAACTACTTAACTATTTAATATGCTTTAAGTGTCTTCCTTGTCAATGATTTATGATATATCTTTTTGGTGATACAGATACAGAGGAAGAAAACCCAGAAAGTTCTAAAAAAGAATTAACTGTATTGTAGTAAAGACACATTGTTAGTGCTCACTTTTTATATTTACATTCCTCATCCAAGCACAAAAATAAGGCAAAAAAGAACCCAACAGATTTTGGATATAGAAACACTTCATTTTAATTTTTCAGAATCAGTAAAAACACGCTTGTCTTTGCATATTCGCATATATTTATTCTGAATTTGCTTTGCACTACCACTTGGGTTTTTTGAGTGTTTTTCTGTTGGTTTTTTTTTTTTCCTTTTGATTTGGTTGTTGTTGTTGTTATTTGTTGGGGGTTGTTTTTGCTGGAATTTTGTTGGGTTTTTTTGTTCTATTTTTACACATAACACAACATGTTTATGCAATAATAAGAAAAAAAAGAAGGGACTGATAACTTATGGTAAGCACTTCAAAGGCAATTTAGTACTTAATCATAGAATCATGAATGATTTGGGTTGGAAGGAACCTCAAAGATCACCTAGTTCCAACTCCCCCTGCCATGGGCAGGGACACCTTCCACTAGACCAGCTTGCTCAGGGCCTCATCCAAGTTGGTGTCGAACACTTCCAGGGAAAAACTTCTGTGGGAATTGTAGCTGACAATGCTGTGTAAGGGCATGTTTTCTAATCTTTAAACGTATATGTAAGATAATACATGCCACATTCAAAAGTCAGGCTATACTTTAGGAGAACTTTTGTATTCCAGTTATTTGAATTTCGGTAAGTTAAGACATCAACAACCACCAATCAGATTCACTATGGGAAAATAGAAAGCTCTTTGCAAAGTGAAAGCTGTCATCAGAAAGCAGCTTATTTACTTTCACTGTGGAAATACACTCAGAAAGAATATACTAATTTATCTCCAAGGACTTCCAATATATACATCTTATGTGGAGAGGTTTATGACCATTTTAACTCTGGTGGCATTAAGGAGGATTTGGAGCAGCAATTCTCACCTCAGCAATCATTCTGTTGGTGTCTCCCAAGAAGAGTAGGTTTAAGGCTTCCTCTTCGTTGGTCGCTTGCTGAAGAGACAAGTTTTTCAGATGAATGTTTTGATCAGAGTCTTCCATTATTGTCACTTTTCTATATGGAAAATAAAAAACAACCACCAAATGAAAACTATAGTTTTAAAGCAATATTTGTTCCATACTTTCATTTTGATTGTATGTACCTAAAAGGTGAAATCTAAATCAATCATGATGAAAGAACTAAAGATGTGAAAAATAAATGATACCCATTAAAGGAAGTGTTGATTTTTTTTTAATCTGTCACCTTCTTTTTATTCCTTTATTACAAACCTTCACACAGAAAAGGAATATATGAAATCTATTAGTATTAGAGAAAGCTTTAGGATTTTTATTTTAATGAGATATAGTAAACTCTCAAGAGCAAGAGGTTAGATGAATCATCACAAACAAATAATAAGTGGGTGTTTGTTTTCTATTACCAAGCACAGATGATACACAAAACATACCATAATCTTGATGTACAAATAGGCATGGAATATTTCAGAATCAACACATCTGTAGTCAACATGTTTCTAATAACTTTGCATTTGTAAAGACTATTTCTCCTTTCATTCTTCTTAAATGGTAGTAACTACAACTGTAAATTATCCCTTTCTTAAATTAAAAGCAAGAAAACAGAATGATTTTATTTATTTCCACTGACGTCAGAAACACTCTTAGCTGTACTTCTATAAGCCGTAAAGTTTACAGAAAGGAAGTTAGATGCAAGTAGCAAGGATATGGCAAAAGTTCCAAGAGAGCTGTTAAATATTACTGAAAACCCCTCTCATTTATTCAAATAGTCCTTTAACATAAGAATTTTTTTCTTTTGAAATGGTTACTTAAACTTTATTGGCATTACTGAGTAGCCATTAGGATCTCCTCATTTGGAACATTTTTTAGTATCCAACATGGAAGCCAAGTAGTTGCCTCACTGGCTTTGGAAAACTCCCAGAGGGAAGAATCTGTTAAAATGGAAGTACACTAAATTTGAGGATAAATAACCTATGCTTCAGGGTGAATTACATGTTCTGAGACAATTCAAAACAAGCAAGTTAGAACTTTTTTAGAAGTTAGAGGGTTTTTTAATAAAAAACCCTATTTTTTTCTGTGTAAGTACAGATAATACTTTATATCTATACATATATACCTATATGTATACATATATGTATATACATTCTTTTTCACGTTCTTCAGGGTTAACCACAAGAGGGAGTATGGGGCTTGAGTTTCTATCAGTAGATAGTTCTTGCATGTTAATTACTTCAAGTTGCTTCAAAACCAGAAAGATATGGTTTTGTTCTGTTTTGTCTTTTTTTTTTTTTTCCCCCAAACTCACAGAATCAAATCAAGCATCTAAGCAGCATTCCATAGCATTGCACTTAGATATTGGGGAAGTAGTTCATAGTCTGATGGTCAAAACATTTGAATAGATATACAGAAAAAATTTTAACAATTGCAATATACTCACTATTTTCAAGAATAAACACATGTAAAAGTACACACAATGCTTCTTTAGTATTCATAACAATTGTTTTTCCATGTAGGATAGCCCTATTTTTGTGTGGTAGTGTAAGACATTACTAATACAGTCAGAAAACTCAGCTTCCCCATTCAAAGCATAAACCCCAAAGCATAATTCTGCTCTTGCTTTGTCAAGTTGTATTCTATCTGCAATTCCACCTGTGCATGCATGACACAGTAAAGCCCAGAGTGGTTCTGACTGCAGTATGATGCTCTGACTAATTTTAATATTTGAAATTGCACGGTAAGCATCATCTACCTATTTTTACAATTTAGGAAAACAATATTGTTTTATTATGCACATTTGGCATAGTATTTAAACTTTTAAGGATCTTTTCAGTCTACGCTTTGATCAACGATCATTCCAGCTCAGAATATTCTGTGATTCTGTGAAATAATTTCCAGAGAAGTAAGATGTTAATTTGGATGTAAAGCTCTGGAAGATTAATATATCAGAAATGAGACAGTGCAGACCTCACAAAACAGTGACAGCCTCCTATACAGTGGCCTTGCAACTATTAGGAAGATTTCCAAATGGAAGCCTACATTAGCACATCTAGAGAGGCATCTATCAAAACTTCCTCAGAATGGTATGTTCCAAAACGACAACAAAATTATTTTTTACAATGTTATAAAGTTACTATATAGCATGACAATAATTTCTAGAGTACATTCGCTATATTAGTAAAATCTTTACATTTCATGGCTCTAACTTGGGTGGAAAAATTCTGTGAAGTTATCCATAATGACTGAAAGAAGGCAGAGACAAGGTTTTGTATTCTTTATAAACAAAGAATTTTTTCCATTTGGCTTAAGGGATGGAATTAGTAACTGGTTAGGAAGCCTGTAGGATGGGATCAGGCTTTCTTACTAGCTCCAGCCCTTTCCTGCATCAGCTGAGCTGCCATTAATGCAGTAGAGCCTTGCACACTGATTGCTTTAATTTATGAAATTCTTGTTACTGGCAAACAATGAACTTAAAGCTACCTTTGATTAATTAACACCCTCTCATATAAATAATAAAAAAAACCCTTAAAATATTTTGGAAAAAATTACGATTTTAAAAATCAAGTTTCCTATTATTATATCCATCTCTAGAAATCTAGAACAATATTAAAAACTTTATAAACAATTAAAAATTAATCATAATGATACAAATAAATAATACATGAGGATACACACCTTCTATGATAATACATTATAGTGATACTACTTCAATGTGAGGAGGAGAGTATACAGTCAACAATAAATTTAGGAAAAAGATAAAAGAGAAAAGCAGCAAGCATGCATCTTGGAGTCTGTCTAGAAGAATAGAATAAATTAATGGATAAGTATAGCTAATGACTTGTAAAATTGCAAGGAGGTTTAGGTTTTAAGAAAGAACGATCAAGGTAATAATTTTATAGATCACCCCAAAAAAATGATCTTTCAGAAGTACAACTCCCTGAATACCACAATAGAGGACAAAGTCAGCACTGATTCAAGAGGCAAGGCTACAAAGTTATTCAGCTACCAACACAACTTTCAATAGAACACAGATATGATTTTCCATTGAAGTATAGACCTAGAGCATAACCTCCTTGGCATGTGAGACATGGCAGAATTATGAGATGAGTAAGTATTTGTGCAGACTGTTTGCTCGACACGTCATACTGTGATAGGAAGTCTTTCCCACTGTCTCCAATGGATTCTGTTGTGAGACAACAAAAACACACCTTAGTTGTCCTGCATGTAACAGACATGACTGGGAGACTTACACATTTAGGAGTGAGTGATTCACACAACAGTGACCCTGAGCAGGCACAGCCTGTGATGTGCTGCACACACAGAGGGGCACTCAGGCCTGTGTCGCACTGCGCAGATCCCTTGGCTGCACAATAAATACACTAAGCTCTCATAAGAATACCTTTTAGAATGGAACTGTTTTCTTGTAAGCAAATTTTATAATAGCTCAAAAGGCCAAAAGGGAGAGCTTCTCTCCATGGACTGGAACTGTACTGCTCTGTGCAGTGCACCGTGGAGAAATCCATTCAGGCCCTGTCCAATGCTGCACAAACACAGGGCACCCAGCACCTGATGGGATGTAATTTACTTGCAACCTATATTCCTCTTCTTATTCTGTCTAATTGAAGCAGTTACATTAGTAAGCCATTTGTTGTCAGGGCTCTCTTACTGAGATCTGGAAAGAGCTGTGCACTGTCTCTCCCCCTGACATGACCATGCTAAACAAGGAGTCCAAACTGAAACAATGAGACTGGTGGTTTGCGTAACAAAAAAAACATAGAAAATATGTTAGAATTTGCAGACAACTGCAATAATCTCATGTACCAAAAAAAAAAAAAAAGTTTGTTAAACAGGCTTTGACATTAGCAAGCAAAGTTGCCTTGAATTAATTTATTCATCAAATGCTTTTAGAAAAGTCACCTTAGAGAAATTTCACTGATTTACTACTGATTTTCAGAAAACAAATCAACATAAAACCTGGATGTAAATAAACAATATATAATGTATGCTGAAGTTATTGTATACATTTAAAGTATAGTTTGAACTGTAACGAAAAAAAATCAAATCTTTGAAGAAATGATTCAGAACAGTTTTAAGCTGTCTCCTCATTAACAAACAGAAAAGCTTAACCTTACAAAAATATATTTCCTATATATGTTGAAAATTATTCCTTTAGCCTTTTTTATTTTTATCCTTCTTTTTTAATAGCATAGGAATTATTATACTAGTTGTTTTAGTTTTCCATTTCAGTAGTTTGGTATCTCTTAAAGTCCTTGGAGAGCAGCAGAGAATAGAAGAGTACAAACCCATTTGAGGTAGTTAACCAATATTCAGTTACAGATTTTTTTTAAAGTGAAAATATTTCATATTGATCCCACGAAACATAACAATTCTAATATATGTTACTAATATATACTGATACACCCATCATTGTTGATGTTTGAAGTTAATTGGTTCTTAGCTTCAAGTGTGGTTTTCTTTTTTAAAGTCTGACAGCATCACACCTAAACTTCCACATCTCCCTCTCAAAGAGGACTTCATAGAAAAAGTGGGGAATCACTTATGCTGGCTTGAAGTTCAGATTGCATTTTCCCTTGGCTGTACAGAATCATAGAATCATAGAATCGATCGTGTTGGAAAAGACCTCTGAGATCATCAAGTTCAGCCCTTGATCCAACACCGCCATGGTTACTAGACCATGGCACTAAGTGCCACAAATCACTCCTGATTAATGGTTGTCTAAGCTCCCTGAGAAGTAGCTCCTCAACTACTGCAGTTTAAAGGCTAACATTCTAAGGCAAACCAGTATTAATTTTAGTTTGCCTTCACATGCAAGAGAGTCACCTGCTGTAGGACAGGTAAAGAGGTAACTTATTAGTTGTCTATGACTTAATCAAGTCATTCTTGACTAATAGTTGTATAACCTCCTTCTTTACTTTTTTGTAATTATTCATTGCCAAGAAAATTCTCACTTCTTAATAAATAATACTAACTAGTTAGGAAGAGTACTGGTAGGTTGTAACTAAAGCGAAATTTGTTAGATTGAGTAACATTGAGTTATATAAATTACAAATACACTACAACAGAGAATCTGTTGGAGATGAAAAGCTTTTACACAAATTCAGAGCTTCAGAAAAATATTCCTAATTTGAACAGTCCTGCAAAACTTTTTTGAAAACATGAGGTGGCAGTAAGTATTTAAATAGTCTTCTACCAGCTGTATTTTATAGCAACAATTTTATACTTTTTACATGTTTGAAAACAATCATAATTTCCTTGCATAAACATGGAACTCTCTACAGCTACAAACAGAATTAGATTGTCAATATTAAATTCAATTTTTGCATTCTAACAAGTAAGATTCTTCAAAGGTTTTTTGCATCTGCATATGCTGGGTTTCAGCTACAATGTCACAAAATTAAAACACTGTCAGTTTTGTATAAGCAAAACAAAATTGTAAACTAAGACATTTTGGATGAAGCATTAAGGTATATCAAAGGATATCTTCTATGGGCTACATGTAATATCATACATCAAGAAAACTGTTTTCTCTCCATTAAAATTTTAATGTGCAGATATATAAGCTACATTTATGCATTTTTCAGGAATTTATTTCCAGAAAACCAGGGATTTTTTTTTGTGAGAGTTTCTTCCCTTCTCACCTGGTAGACTCTAATGAAATGATTAAAGATGAAAATCTCATAGTCTATAGAAAATACTAAGTATGGCTACACACAAAACCTTGACTTCAGCAGCTGAGATTCCAAATCTAATCATGCAATGGACAATTTTTAAAAAATTTATTTATTCACTTTGCCTTAAACATCAAATACAATTTTATGTCTCATTTTTCAAGTATTAGCAACAAGCCTGTAGTGCGCTTTTCATAACTTCTATTACCTGAGTGCAATCTGTGTTTATTCTTTTCATTGAACTGGTAACATTAACCCATTAACATAGAGTTTGCTAGACAGAAGTACATATTTCTGATTCAAATTCCATCCCCTTCTTGTGCAGGAATATGGATAAAAAAATATTCTTCCAAAACAATCTGCATACTTTATGAGGTTAACTAATCTTTTTGCTTACTCTTCTAAAATGACACATTTCTTAAATACTCTTCTTGTCCATCTTAAATACTTGGGAAAGTATCAGGACTGACTGCTAATATTTACCCATGCACATTGGGTAAATACCCTGCCTTTGGCTTTGTATGGTGCTTAAAGCCTAGATGATCTGCTGTGGAGTTCAACAGAAAATTATGCACCATGTGACCCTTTTACAGTACAACAAATACTAGTTCCTTTTAATATTCTCATTAAGTATACACTTTCAAACAAACTTGAGAAAGTCAGGTTATTTAGTATTTTGCTACAAGGTTTTAAGCACATAAAATTCTCAGAAATATTAAATACATATTAGATAATAAACATCTGATAAATTTTAAAATATGTGATTACTACTTACACGTAACTTCTATTTTGTCATATGTGAAAATTATTCGAGTAATTAAAATAATTAATCATGCAACTACCCATTCCTGCAATTCACAATCCTTTTCCAGCTCAGAATGACACTATATTTTTTTAAATTTTGAATTCTCAAACTACAATATTAAAAAATAAACAAAAGATATTGTATGAATTAAATACTCTTACACATGTGGTGGTGCATACCCCGTTTCCTGCCCCTGACTGCATTATGAGTTAATATGACTGGTGAAGGTATAGTTTTAGTGTACAGAACACATTTAATTGACAAATGACGTACTGGAAATAATAATGTCCACATACAATAAAACCTTAAAGCACTTGTTAAGATTACTCTGCACAGAAAAATTTACTATCTCACTAAAACCCATCCTGCAATAGTATACACTATGAAAATTTACAGATAATTATGATTATCCCAGTGTGCTTTATCCTTAATTTATAACCAAATTATCAACATTTACTTTTTTAAATAGCCTAATACATAACAAGGAGTTACTCTTAAGCTTAATTGAATCACCATACATAAACCAATTTGGAGACTCTAAAATTCATAATTATTGGCAGATAGTCAGTACTTAGTTTCAAAATATGAGATATTTTCCAGGCTATATGACCCCCAAATATCTGTTTCAAAGTTTCAATTAAATAATTCAAATTAAGTTTATTTCAATTGAATAAATTCAGTTTCATAAAATGTCAAATGAAATTACTTCAAATATTTCAAATAACTTAATAAATCATATTAATAATGTAATAAACTTGAATAACTTAATAGCATTAACTTTAATAAGCTGAATAAAGTGTAACAGACTTTTTTTACATAAAACCTTGAAAAAATCTGCACTGTAAAAACGGGCACAAAAATTAAATTATTACCCAAATTAGCCTCTGATATAAATTTTTTGTCTGCATAGCACAGAAAGCAGACAATAACTTAAATTAAAATTCTAAACTTTGCCATGAAAGACACTGGTAAATATACACAGTCTTTATAGCACCAATGTGTCATAAGGTGCTAAAATTTACTTCCATTTTACAGGTGAAAAAAGCAAAACAATGAGACCAATTGTCTCATACTCTGCATTTGTCTGCTGCCTTCCTAATCTCTAGACTAGTTCATTTTATAAAGATCAATCTTGAAAATTTTTTGTAAGTATGTCCTAGATACCCCGCATTGTGTAGAAAACTAAAGCTCTATTCTAACACAGTAAAATATTGTGTTGGAAGACTTTTTTAATAAATAAAATTCTTTTAATAGTATGTAAATAACATAATTAGACATTTAAATATAAAATTCTATTGATTTTCAGTTATTTTCTCATTGCAAGTTTTCAGTTCATTTCCTGCTCTTATATTAGCAATTATTTAATTGCTATTTACATGTTTCTGTTACCATTATGTTGAGTGATAAAGTTTATAGTGCCCAGCATTATTTCGAAGCATTTGCAAATCCAGTCAACAACTCACTTATTCATAAACATTTACTGTTTGCATAGCAAAGACTATAAACTATTATTTCAGACTTGGAAACTAGGATTTGGATTTCCTACAAATTAGAACTTTTTAATTTCAGCAGGCTGGAGTGTTCATGACCTACAAACCTTGATTTACTACCCTTCTCCAAGTATTAGTAAGTGCTGGTGTTTGACCAATGAAAACTATTATAATAATCATCCATTCTGAAGTAAACACCCTGTTCTTTGGAGTTCCTTGTGGCCTATTTTCTAGCTGTTACTTACCTTATTTCCTCAAAGCATATTCTAGAAAAATATATAATTATCCTTGAAGGAAAAGGCCCAAGTAGAAGCAGGGAGCTTTTCTCACTACTATTGCAAGGAAATAATGCTTGTTACATATGTCTCTGCCCCACACAGTCATGTATACCATACGGGCTGTCATGAGAAAAACAAGTACCTTCTCTTGTTTTCAGTGGCTGCAAGAGATCTCCTTTGCAAAGTACACTTTTAATATTTTCATCTTCAGTTACTCCCATCTAGTCTCCCCAGCCTCTATTCATACAAAATTACAGAAAATTAAAGCAGTGTTGATAAAATTGAGAAAACAAAGTATACTGATTAAATTAACACTGAGATCAGTAACACAGCTGCAAAAAAGGCCCCAAACAATGCTACAGGGTATACGAAAACGATTCCTGTTGGTTTTGATGATTCTCTTAAGTAGTCCTATTACTTACGGCAAATCTTCCAATCTGGAGGCCTCATGCCTTGGGTCCAGCAGATCATAACCACATTCATTGTAGATTTCTAAGTAGGAAACATGAGTTGTATACACTTTACTGCTGTCCTGGATAAGAAAAGGAAAAAAAAAATAGAAAAAAAGGAAGTGCCATAAAGAAAAGTCAGAGTTAGATTAGATAACAAATTTATTGCTACTGCTTTTATGTTAATTTCTCACTCTGTCTCTTTTTCTTTTCCTGGGTATGGTGTACATTATCAATTTCTTATGCTTTCATATTTTCTGTTATCATATGCATAAAGGCATAAGAAAGAAAAAAAGAAAAAACCAATAAAACCCCCCAACTAAAACAGACACATGCACGCACACACACAAAACCCACTAAAACAAAAATCCCCCCCAAAACTCCACCATGCCCATGAGTTTAGTCTGGGATTTTTAACTGATTCCTTACACCTAGAAAAGTCTGTGTACATTTAGAACATGGGAGCCTGCTTACAGAACAATGCAACATGACATTTTTCACATCTACACCAAGAAAAGAATGCTATTACAAAAAGGTAAACCCTCATATTATGGATAGAAAAACTATGCTTTAAAAAAAAAAAACAAGCAAGGAACAACAAAAATAAGATTTACTCCATTTAGAAACATCAGATACATACTGCTTTTCACTCTCTTTATTATAACATTTAAACAGTGTATATGATGTCACTGTTCTCTGCAATCACATTTTTTTGGTATATTACATTGCCAAAATGTAATTTAACACAACTAGGTTTTGCAGATAGAACTTTCTTCTGCCCCAAACCTCAAAATAGTGGGCTATGATTTCCAAAATAAAATAAAAAAAAACCAAAAACCAGTCACTTCTTTTCACAGACAGATGAAGCCACTGTGAAAGCACTCATATCACAGTAGAAGTTTAATAATCCAATCCACTGCTGTTGTTTTTCAAAATACTTCAAGATATAACTTTTCATTTTCATTGAATAGTTATTTCCTGTGGGTTTTTATTTTATTGATAATGACAGTTCACTATTTCAAGGGATATGACTTAAAAGATACACTACAGATGGATGGAAAAAATGAAGTAAGAAACTGTTCAAACAGGAAACTGTGGAAATATGAGAATTTCTAAATTAAAAGGAGATGTTATTAAAAACAAAGGGCTTGATTTGCTTCTCATTTAGGGTAAAAAGCTTTCTTTCCTTGGTTTCAAATTGCATTGTCTTTGTGCAACTCAGAGCTTCACAAGTCTTGTATTTTGTGTCCCTGATTTCACTGTCTCCTGTTTCATACTACTTAGGGTTAGAAGGCAGATGTCTTGTCTACTATGTCAGCATCTTCCAAAGCACAGTTGTAGATATAAAGAAACAGGTGAAAGATATGAAAAGAAAAGCAAGTGGAAAGATAAAACACCAAGAAGAGATTCTTTACGATGCACCAAGAAAGAAACACCATGCTTTGGAGGCAGGAAAACAGAAATATCCCTATAAGCATAATCAGGTATAACTTCTCATTCAAAATCCAGTTTGAAGAGGAAAACTTTTTTATTTCTGTAGAAACTATGTGCTGAGAAGATGACAAATAAACTAGTTAGTTTTCATCCTATTTTGGTTTTATGACATAATTAGCATTAGAAAAGAATGTTGGTGTGTTGACACTGTTCATTGCCGGCAATTGCACAATCAACCTGTTCACTTTTCACCACAAAAGTCCTCCATGGGGTCATGTGAATGCAGCAGAAGGTCTAAGGCAACATGATCACATGGGGTTTTATTTCATTTCCACTGCCACAATAACAAGCTTTTGTGCACCTGCAATATTATGTGTACTTTTATGTGCCAAAGCCATACTTCCAAAGAGCCAAAGTAATTACTGACTGTAGTTAACCCTTACTGAGACAGGGCAGGTTAATGTGACTGAGACATATACCTTATGAATATGAACTGGTACCCTGTATTACATGAATGACAGAGTATAAAAGTACAATGTAATGATTGATGTTGATGCCAAATAATATTTAAATTGGTTTAATTAAATAGCTTTGTTAAAATGTGAAGATTAATCTTTAATGAATCATAGGCCTGGTGGAGTAAATGAAGAGACAAAACATAAATTACACAAAACTACTCTCTTCACTTTTGCCTCCTATAGTTATAAAAGCACCAGAATGATTGACTGTGTTCACTCATGTAAGTATTTCAGACACTAAAGGAAAATGAAATTTCTTGCAAACGTAATAAACATAATGAACAATCAATGTGCTTACTCTGGTAATCCTTTCACTTATTCACTCATTTCATTGCCTAGAATATCAAAATGAAATGCAGTGCATAGAATACAAAACCAGAGTGGAGCTGATATAAGTGTTAAGAGAAGGATAACCAATTATGTAATCTGAACGTATGCTGCAGCAATCAAAAATAGCATGGCTCTTAAACCTACAAAAAAACCCCTCCACTGATGTCCATTTTTTTCAGTCTATTGCAATAAGTCAGGTAACCAAAACTATTACAAATGTATTCTTGCATACAGTATTGTGTCAAGTTAGATATTTTCTTCAGCATTAATTTTAGGGCTTCCTCTAAACAGAAACAGCCTCTTGCAATAGTTAAGTATCTGTAAACTGGACATTAAAAATAAACAGAAAACATGTTCCATACCTTCTGCAGTTGATCAAAAATATAAGATAGAGTCCTGGGAATAATGCCTCGATCACTGTAACGTTCTGCTCCTCCTGTGATGGTAAAAGTTTTGCCACTGCCTGTCTGACCATATGCAAAGATAGTACCATTATATCCAGCCAAAACACTATACAATCAAGAAAAGAGAAGATAATTATTGAGTCAGAACGTATTTTTAACAGTCAACTTTGTATAGAACCAAAACACAATTAACAGCAATTCTTAATTATGTAGCAGCTGCCTTCGGTAATAAAGAATACACTTCAAGATATGTATTCTAGAATCTATAGAATTTAAATTCTCTAGATCTGAAGGACTTTCTGAGGCCTTGACTTACCCCATCATTCAATATCATCATTAGTTGATCATACTTATTACTATTTACACTATCTTTTCATAGTGTTTTCTTTGGCTTATGATTTTTGTGCAAGGATGATATTTAGCCTCTTTAAAGTCTGCAGAGGTCAGGAATACACAACAGCTCAAGAATCTAGAAATATTTCACATGCGACTTCATTCAATGCAAACAGAGAAAACTATATTGTGGTTAGAAACTCATGTAAGGATACAGTTATACAAGGGGTCATTTTTATTCTGAGAATACTACTAAACTATCAGACTGCTTTTGGATGAGGGTGTGCAGGAGAACCTGTGCTTAAATCAGTGTAGCAAAGTCTTCATTTACTGTGAAAACACACAAAACCTCATTGGTAATAGCAAAGTTTTCTGTTACAACTGTGATTGTACAAGAAGCTTCTGTGGAACAGTCATAACAGCTGTGCAATGACATAGCATGAAATGCCATTCAGACTCATCATGTTTTTCCACATCTCTTTCTTCTATTTGCAGAAGTGCCTAATAAAAGTCTAGTTCAAATATCTTTCTCTAATTCACCACACTTTCACCATTGACTTCCATCTGATTTCCACCAAAACAGTAGATAAGCTTAATAAACTTAAATTTCGGATTTGATTTACTGTGCTTAAGGACCTACTACTTCTGTTAAACAAAATGAAAAGCTACAATTTTTCTTGTGCATTTTGTTTATTGAAAAAGTGATAAATAAGCTAAGATTTTAATAAATAGAAAGAGGGCAAACAACCCTTGCATAAGAGGAAAAGCAACATATGTATAGATAGCTGCTGGTCTGGCGCCACAAGAGACGCAATGATTCTCCAACTTACTTAAGTTTATTTAAAGGCCTGAGTAGTTGCCAATTTGCTTATTTTAATCCATTACAGTAGGATGTCAGAGACAAAAGCAGAAACATGTTGAAAAGAATTACAGTGAACATCTGCTCCCAAAAACCAAAATGCCCAGAGTTTATACAGATTTTAGACTCCAGATGTTAAAAATCAAAATAATTATTATTATAAAACACCTCATTTATCTACCTTAGTAATTTCTAGTGTCCACTGTCACAGTATCTGAATGCTGAAGACAGTAACGAGTAGTCAAAAGGCAGGGGGTATCAACAGAACTCAGAGACAGTAGATTCAAAACAAGCAAGGGGAAATGATTCTTCATGCAGAACATAGTTAAGCTGTTCAACTCTTTGCCATGCCATGTTTTGGATGTTAAAATTTCACACAGGCTTCAGCAGAGATTGGATTAAATCACAAGAAAAATTTTCTCTCAGGGCTACTAAATGCTAGAAAACAGAAAGTCCCTAAACTAGAAATCATAGAATCATAGAATCAGCTGGGTTGGAAGGGACCTCCGAGATCATCAAGTCCAATCCTTGATCCACTACCACCATGATTATAGACCATGGCACTAAGTGCCACATCCAGTCTCATCTTAAAAACCTCCAGGGATGGAGAATCCACCACTTCCCTGGGCAGCCCATTCCAATGCCTGATTATTCTCTCTGTAAAGAATTTCTTCCTAATATCCAACCTAAACCTCCCCTGGCAGAGCTTAAGACCGTGCTCTCTTGTCTTATCGATAGTTGCCTGAGAGAAGAGACCAACCCCCACCTGGCTACAACCTCCTTTCAGGGAGTTGTAGAGAGTGATGAGGTCTCCCCTGAGCCTCCTCTTCTCCAGGCTAAACAACCCCAGCTCCCTCAGCCTCTCCCCTCAAGACTTGTGTTTGAGTCCCTTCACCAGCCTTGTTGTTCTTCTCTGGACCTGCTCCAGCACCTCAATATCCTTCCTGAACTGAGGGGCCCAGAACTGGACACAGTATTCGAGGTGTGGCCTCACCAGTGCTGAGTACAGGGGAAGAATCACTTCCCTGGACCTGCTGGTCACACTGTTCCTGATGCAGGCCAGGATGCCATTGGCCTTCTTGGCCACCTGGGCACACTGTTGGCTCACGTTCAGCTTCCTGTCAATCCAAACTCCCAGGTCCCTTTCTGCGTCGCTGCTCTCCAGCCACTCTGTCCCTGATGACTAAAGACTAACAGGATACATGGGGAAGCATGGCGGTAAGACAGTTAAAAAGAATAAATCCTTAGAGTCCAGAGGAAAAAAAAAGAGTTAATAAGAAATGGTCATTACATATAAGGACTTAGTCAATAACACTGAGGAAGAATAAGATATTCTGTAGCACTGTAGCTGCAACTATGATACTCCAGAAGTGTAAGAAAAAAACCAGGTATTTAGAGAGAGGAAGCATCTTGTATTAAACTCACCAATAACTGGGAAAAAAGAAGATGGGGCTCAGGGCTTCAGTGGATTATTGGGCTTTTTTTGGCGACATTAGAAAAACCCTGCCTCTTCCCTTACAATCTTGCTAAGTAGAAGCTGTTAGTACAACTTTGTATCAATTATCAGACATAGGACAATTCTTTCTAGTATGGACTCATATATGAATGTAAAGGAGAGTAACACAATGCAGATTTTCCCCTCAAATTTTCTTACTCGCTTATCAATTAACTTGCATGTTCTAACTTACCCCTAATTAGTAGTGATTTAAAAACATACACAGTAAGATACATGCTTTTCATTTGAAAATTCATTTTAGACCCCTATTTAAATGAATGGTTGTTACAGAGTTATGTACTGACATTTTCAGTCGCTCCACTGCCTTGTCTCATGCACCTAAATATAGGGTGTGATACAAAAGTATAACTCATGGAAGTAATTCCACTTAAATTGATAGATATGTTATGTTTACAACTGTCTAACACTCCTCAAGTGAGAAATTCCTCAAGTGAGAGCTAGACAATTTATGGGTCGTTACTACAGTCTAAAATATCGTTCAGTACTTTGTCCTTGAGTATCCGAGACAATACAAATAGTGGTATAAAGCCCAGTGACAGTAGACAGAGGTTGAAAGCAGACTGAGGTTGTTTTATTGTGGTTGGTTTTTCTGACTACATTTTGTTTTAATTTCCAGTGAAGATCATTTGTTCTATTTAAAGTTTATGGACACCGAACTTTTCATTTGCTTCTGTGCTCATTGCTAATGAGACTTCAGGGAGGCTTTTGCCTAAGTACAACGAAGAACTCTGCTTCCTCTGCTGCTGCACTGGTTTTGCTGAATCAAATAGAACAGTTACCATCAAAATTTGCAAAAAAGAAAAGAAACTCTCCTCCTTGGGTTCTGCCTCCCGTTTTGGACTCCCCAGTAGATGAAAAATGCTCTAAAGAAACTGGAGTGAGCCTGATAGAACCAATTTAGTTCAGGTTGCAGCACATCACACACAAGGGGAAGTCAAGGGAACTGTTTCCTATCAACCCAGAGAAGAGAAAGCCATACATGTACCTAATTATCACCTTATGCAATGGATTTTTACAGAGATGGACTCAAACTCTTCCCAGAGAGTTACAGTGGTAGAACACCAAGCAGTGGTCACAAGTTGCAAGAGAAGAAACTTCAAATGGGTATAATGAAAATATTGTTCACAGTAAAAGTAATTAAGCCCTGGAACAGGTGCCTAGACGGATTGGGGGATCTCCATCTTTGGAAATTTTTGAAGCTCTACTGGACAAGGGCCCGAGAAATGTGATCTCACAAAACTTGCTTTGCTCAGGAGGTTGGACCAGATGACCTCCAGAGATTCCTTCTCACCTAATTAGTCTAATTTGTGGAAAAAGTTGAGAGTTTTTTACTAAATTTATAATATGAATAAATAAAACAACAACAAAACACCCTTATTAAGGACTAAATTCTGTAAATGTTTATATATAGGTAAGAGAAAATCCTGGGAACCAGAAACAACTTTCAACTTTAAAATGTAATTATTTTGATTTTGTTAGTTTATTTCAGCTTCATATTATTATTTTAATTTGATTTCTGCCATCTTCATTTTAAATGAGTAGTAACAAAAAGGCACATGATTGAAAAAAAATTCAAATATTAAAAAATTAAAATACTAGACTGATGAAAAAAAGCAGAAAACACCTGTAGTTTGATCTTGGGACACTGATAGCCCTCTCCTCATCTCAGTTCTTGCAGACCTGAAATATTCTACCAATGTCCCTCACTTTCATTCATATATATATATATATATATATATAAAAATCAACACAGTCCTCACAAAACCTGCCTCCAGAAATTATAATGAAGATAAAAGAAAGGAAGGAGTTAATTTGCAGGATCTGGAAAACAAGTTTTCAGGGAGAATTTGTCTTCAGAGACTCAGTTTTTAGGTATCTTCTATCATTTGATGCTCAGACTAAAGTTTCTTTTAATTAAAATAAACAAATTATCTCAGTATGACATTTTTTCTTTATGTCTTTGCCAGATTTGTGGAACAAATCTAAATTGGTAATGTCTCATCTTTAAAAAACAAAGCCAATGTAACTGTTTTTGAGACCTTAGTGCAGGCAAGTTTCCTTAGAAATTTCAAAAGAGCTTTCCTAAGGGAAAAGAAAAGTAATATAATTTCCTATTTTAACTAAGATCTCTAAATATATTTAGAATTCCACCACAACCACCATAAACAGACAAGTGGCACAAAGATACTCTGAATCAAAGCTGTCAAACTGTAACTTATAACAAACAGCCTTCTTGAACAATTCTAAGCTGTGCAATTTAAGTCAAAACAAACACAAGCAACTAGTAGTCATTTTAAATGAAACATCAATGATGCTTTTCACTTTTTATTGCCTCATAATTGTACTCACTTCCAGAAAGAACTGCTAGCATTACTATCCAATTTCTCAGTTTAGGGGAAATTTGAAGCCAATTTTGTTTCCAGCTGACATCCAAAAAAAAAAATGTCCTTTTATTATACATAGATTCTACAGGTCTTTTGTGGTGCAGATGAGCCAAACCACTACTTCCAATACTGTGTGACAAATATATCCAGGGACAAAATGGAACAAACCAGAACCTGAGGCAATGGGAGCATTGTCCTGGAGGCTCTCAGATCTTTCAAAAGAACATAGGTGATTGTCATTAGGTTTATAAACAGCTGAGGTATTTCTCATTTTCATGAGACATCTGAAGAGAATGTATTTTCAAATGTTATTCTTTAATAAATCAAGACATCTAATACCAAAGTATTGGCCATATTAGAACTGAAAACTAATTCAAAGCAGTTAATATTTTTACTTAATTTCTGATTGCATTAATAATCATAACACTAGCATTTGAAACATCTTAAGAGTAGCCTTGTTCTGTTGCTAACACAATACTTAATCATTAGCAGACTGTAAAAGTAGGATGTTATTTATTTTCTCTGTTTCTGATACAATAACAGAATTAGTGCTGCTTCTTAAACATCGAGTTGACTCTGCACAAAAGAATTACCATGAATATATATTTAAAATAAAAAGGAAAAGAGGAAGGCACAACCAAACCATAAAAAGAAACCATGCAAGAGATGACTCAAGGATTCAAAAAAAGTAATAAAAAAGTTCAAGCAAATCACATGCTTATAATAGTTTGCAGAGGCAGGGACTTTTGACTGAAGAAGCAAATTAAACAAACTAATGTCTGGTGCCTCTGAAACCACAGGCAAGATGACAATGTAACTGGACTTAAAGAAGGAAAAGTAGTGGTCCAGCATCAAAGAAAGCATATTTAAAAAGGGGGTGAGGGGAAGACAAGAAAGTTGTATGGAAGTTCCTTCCAAGAATAAACTAGAAAGATTTTAGAATCCTGAGCATTGCGTTGCTGGTTTTAGTTTAAACAATGCCCAAGAATTTTTTTTCTGAACGCTCAAGTCTGTAACTGAATTTTCTCAGGACTGTAAGTATGCATGGCAAAGAGCCTTAAAATGTTACTGAAGTATTTCATTGATACTTTCCCACTACTTCTTTTCCCTGGCAATACACACACACAAACTGTTCCCTTAGTAAAGGGACTCCAAAACCAGAAATGTATTTTCAACAGCTTTTTCATGCAGGAGAATGTTGACTTTGAAAGAAACAAATAACGAAGAACATTTTGCCATGAAAAACTGTGGTCTCTCAGAGAAATAGGGTAATTCTTATTGTCCCACGATGGAAAGGAAAATCAAGTCATTAACTATAGAGTGAAATAACTTTTAGGCCCAGTTCAGGACTCCATTAACCAAGGAACCTCATGACTATAAAAATATTTTGAAATACATATTTTTGCCTAAAAAACCATAAAAAATTAAGGAGGTGAATGAGAAACATGAACGTACTTCAGTTATTACCTACTCTATCACAAAAACACAAGTAAAATTATCCTTCAGTATTATCACTAACAACACAAACATGAACAAGAATACAAGCTTTAGCACATTATAACACTAAGACAAAATCTTGATTTCATTAAGAATGAATTTATAAATCAATTTTAGCATTAAAGATAAAGATTTGACTATTTGGAGATAACTGTATGCCTAAACAACACTGATTTTAATAGTATTTAAATACTTTTAAATACTTAAAAATATCTAAACCCCAAAACTAAAGCCTACATAATGGAGAAAATAAATATATAACAGTCCTGTATCAGCCAAGGAAATAAAGGAAAAGAATACCACTTCTTGTTTATTAGAGCACTGTATAGATGAATTATTCGACTGAAAAATCTTTCCACATTCTAGCAAAACACTCCAAAGGGAAAAAAATTAGCCAGTCTGTTGCTAGTTAATTTTGATACCCCAAGCTTTTGTTGAGGATAATTAAATCCATAGTATGTAACAACAAGATTTTTAACCCTTCTCTTTCCAAACAAACTCAAATAAGATAAAGACTTTTTTCTCCCTGCAGACACCACTGAACCCAGAAATATTTAAAGTTAAGTGTATGAGCTAATCTGAAGCTACATGTCATGATGTCAGATAAGCAAATAAATCTTTTCTGGGTGAGAAAATATTATAACAAATATTATTTTTAAATCTATTTTAACTATTTCTAATGAAGTTTCAAATTCACTGGCTCTTCATTTTCACTGTCAATTACTCTTCTGCTTTATGTTGGACTTCAAAGAAGAAAATAGGCAAAAAAATAAAATTAAACTATAAAGAGATAGATATATTTTTCTTCCAAATAACAACTTGAGAAAGGCTTAGTGTCCAGCTGAGGATGTCTGTTTTCCTACAGTCCTAAACACAGGACAGTGCAATAGATGTGAGGAATAACTTGCAGAATCATAGCTTAGACAAACTCCAGACAATGAATGAGAAAGAAGTTGGCATCTAAAGTAATACTTCCCAACTCCCTACAAGTTTGGATTCTCAGCAGTAAGTTTGATAAGCAAACATTATGCAGAAATTCTGCTTCCTGCAGCACAGCATTTTCTCCCCCACTAAACCCAGTACAAACTTCAGCAATTCAGACAATAAATCGAGCAAAGAGAATGGCATACTGGGAAATCCACCTGTTTTGGAGTGGCATTCAATCCACACAATGAGTGCAGAGAGCTTCATCAGTCTTAAATGCCTGCCTTTGCAAACTGTGAAATATGAATAGTGCTTGATTATTAAATGGAGGTGAAAAACAAAAACAGGACCAAAAGCACTGCCTTACATGTCAAGACAAAACTAACAGGGCAAAATTTAGGGATATCTCCACAGGTATTAATGAGCATCCCTAACTTAATGAAAACTAAACAGGGGGATAAGATTTTCATTAGATTTACCTCTTCGTGAAACAATATAGGGAATACTTTTCTAAGGCAATGAAGTGAGTTTATACTGCAGACAAAAAAAAGAATCAGATGTGGATTTCTATGGCTATACAACATAAGAGGTAACAGCAGCAGTGCTATTTCAGGAGTCAAAAATGGAACCCTTGCATACATAAAATTCTCAGGGGATTGTATATCTCCTAGATTCAGATATGTTAGTATTTAGAAAATTAAAATATCAATATACACAACAATGAGACAAAGACTTGGCAGCTCTCCTCTGAGAAATACAAAAAAAGCAAAAGTAGCATCATCCTGATTACTTGCAAGATCAAAACGTACCATTCTGCTACTGGTTTGGCAATGCTGTCAAAAATCACATCTTGTTTTGCTTCTTGATCAAAAATTTTCTGAAATCTGAAAATATTAAGCAAATAAAAATTTCTTAGAATGCTAAAACACTACTTGATTCATACATTTTTGTTTGTGTTTGTAATAGTCAATGTTTACATCATTAGGCTTACATAACTTAGTACAATGTTTTCCCTGTAGTCTTAACCACAGCTTGCTGTTGTGCTATTGTACATAAATAGGCTGTACACAGAGCTGCTTTGACAAGATCTGTACAATAAAATCCTCTGATAAAATGATGTGGCTTAGAAAAAACTAAACCGTATTTTAAATCTATCAAGTGAATCAGTGTTTGTAACTGGCACCACACTGAATCCTGGATAAATAGATTACACTATAACCAAATACAGCATCCCACCAGTACAGCAAGGCTTACATTTTTTCATAGCTATTTCCTTCACTCTGCTGCACTATTACTATAGGTCACAAGGAGATATATAATTCAATATGTTTTGTCACTTTTTATATAAAAAATCTGAAGTTGCCTTACAGAATCAAAATTCTGGAGATTGGAAGGGACCATCTGCTCCAAACCCCCTGCTCAAAGGAGACTCAGATAGAACAGGGGTCCGTTGAGTATCTCCACATATGGGGGCTCCACAGCCTTTCTGGGCAACCTGTTTCAATATTTGATCACCTCACAGTGGGGTCCCCAGCACAGAAAGGACATCAACCTTTTGGAGATAGTCCAGAAGAGGGCCACCAAGATGATTAGAGGGATGGAGCACCTCTCCTATGAAGAAAGGTTAAGAGAATTGGGATTGTCCAGCCTGGAGAAGAGAAGGCTTCGGGGTAACCTGACGGTGGCCTTCCAGTACCGAAAGGGAGCTTATAAGGAAGATGGAGAGAAACTTTTTACAAGGGCATGTAGTGACAGGACAAGGGGGAATGGCTTCAAACTTAGAGTAGGTTTAGATTAGACATCAGGAAGAAATTTTTTACTGAGGCACTGGAACAGGTTGCCCAGAGAAGTTGTGGATGCTCCATACCTGGGAGTGTTCAAGGCCAGGTTGCATGGAGCTCTGAGCAACCTGGCCTACTGGAAGGCTTCCTGTCCATGGTAGGGGGTGTTGAAACTAGATGATATTTTAGGTCCTTTTCAATTCAAACCATTCTATGATTCTATGGTATTTCCTGTATTTCAATCTGTGTCCATTAACTCTTGTCCTGTCCGTGGGCACCACTGAGATGCCTTTGCATCATTTGCTGTTCATCTGGATGGACCGTTCCTGAGTTTGGAGGAGGTGATCCTTTAAAATCAGCCAGTTCTCCGGGACTTCTCTCCAAGGATGTGTCTCATAGAATTCTTTCAATCAGGTCTGCGAACAGGTCGAAATTTGCATTTATGACGTCCAGGGTTGTGATCCTACTTTTTGCCTTGCTCCCTGAGCAAGTATCCCGAATTTCACTATCTCATGGCCACTGCAACCTAGGCTACCCCCAGGTTTAATATCTCTCATCAGTTCTTCCATGTTTGCAAATACGTGGTGCAGCAGAGTTTTTCCCCTCGTTGGCTTTTTGATGGTATGTTAGGAAGTTGTGATCCATATATTCCAGAAACCTCCTGGACTGCTGGTGTCTGGCTGTGTCGTTCCCCCTGCTTGGAAACATACACTCACATAGAACTTCCCAGGGTATGTAGAAAAGCATTGCAGACACCGGGTATACAGAAAGGCACCACGCTGACCCAGGCAATTTGTACAGTATCTCAGACAAATGCAATACACAAAACATAAATGCATACATTCTATCCTGCTAATGCTTAATCAACCGAGATTGTGTTTGGTTCCCATACAAGAGAGTAAAAACAAAAGAAAATAATCTTTGATGTGACCAGGATAAATAGACTGCATGAAAGAATGAGTTTCATGGAGGAAAAATAAATGCTTACTCCACAGAATTATTTTTGCATTGTCTTATGGGTAATAAGACATGGTGTTTTTCAAAATCCACCTCTACAGACTTACTAATAAATTATAGAGTCAGAAAAAAATATCAGCATTCATTAAGTCAGGCTTGGCCATCTGCAACCTAGACTAATGTTGCATATTAATCTATTTGGAGAGGGCAGCTCCTCTCTTCCCAAGCAAATTTCCTTAGCTGATGTAAAATGACATCAGTCTGAAGTGCAGATGTTTATCTAGGGCTCTCTTTTTTAACAGCATAGAGCAACAAATCGACTTGTTCATTATTACAAAAAAATAAAAAATATTCTACTTGGAAAAAGACAGCCTTGCCCTCATAATTAGAAGTGATTATATATCTAGCTTTATTTATCATCAAAATTATAAAATGTTGCCTCAAAGTTTTCTGCTGAAGTGATGAAAATATTTGATTGATATTGCTGGTAGAGACCTTAAGTTCCTAATAAACATTTACATTCTATAACCAAAGTTTTGTTTCTTTCAACTACTTCTGTTTTTCTATATCTTGTTTTGGTAATGTCTGGAACGCAGTTACCTAAACAGAGCGTTTTACATCAAGACAACTTTTAGCTAGCCTACGACAATTAATTAGATCACAAGAGCACACACAGTCCTGCATTCACTCATCATGCACAAATTCAAAACAATTGGTAAAAAGGGAAGAATTGATAAATGAAAATGCAACCTTTGAGACAAGACTTAGAAACGTATAATGACTTGTAGTGGACAGACAACTTTACCCAATGCTATCAAACTCGTGGTGAAGAGCATATGCTGAAGTACTCCTCTTGTTAGGGAGTTGTATAAAAATAAACCTACCTATACCAAAACTTAAGATTAGACTTTTCCTGATTCTGTACATCTGTATCACTACACGTAGAGATAGCAATCACTAAAGGCAGAAGAAGTAAAGATAATGCTTTTACTCACTTGAACTTGTAGGTCTCTCGTTTATTATTGACGAACCCATCTGCTAAGTCACGTGGCACAGTAATCTCCAGACTGGAGAGAAGATCCTCCTCATCATCCACTGAATAACTCTAATAAGCATGGATATGAATTCACAGCATAATTTCACCAATAGAACAGCATAGCCCTTAGACATAACACTTATGTAAGTTTAGCACCTGTAACTGCCTCAAGAAAAAATTTGTACAAATTTCACTAAATATTTGACCAGATCCTCCTTTGGTTATTATACAACAAAGCCAGCATATACCAACATTATTCTGTCACCATGTAAACACTACAACAATACTTGAAACAAAAGTGTAGCCTGACATACTTGCTTACTAAACCACTTCAATATCCGTGGTGTTGTGAAAAACAAAGCACAGCCCCAAGTGCAAACCTCTCCAAAAAAACCCTGGAAGAATACATTAGGAAAGGCTACGACAAAATGAGTTGAGCTGGTTTAAAACCAGAAGACAAACAAGAGACCTAAATGCACGGTTTCTGAGGAACACTTTCATTATCTTTATTATTCCTTGCAAGTACAGCTATACCCTGGGAGCTACACGTTCCCCTCCCATGCTCAGAACGGTGCTGAACTGCATAAACCCGGTGACCAGTGTCAAGTGTTTTCCTGCGGAGCCTTTCTCTAACAAACTAGGCTGGAAAGAAAGTTCCTCGCCCCTTCCCCCAGCAGTTACAGCCTAAGATCTACTTCGTGATTTTAGGAACTTCTTAAGGCTTCGCAGCGCAGGACGAGGCTGTGGCTTTCCCCGCTCGCGTACCCACCCCTCCGCCCTCACCAGCCGGCCGAGCTCCTTGCAAGGAGGGGGGTCCGCTCCCTGCCCGCTCCCGGGGGGACGCGGGCCCCCGGGACGGCCCTCGGCTCTCCCCAGCAGCCCCACTCCACCCGTGGCAGCACAGCGGCACAGCTCCCCGGCCTACCCCCGCCTGCTGCCGCCTGCCCAGCGGCTTCACCCGCGCGTACACCCGGATAGTTTCCTTCACCATCGCTGCCCGCCGAGCCCCTGGCAACGGCAGCGCGGCACGGTGACCGAGCACCGTGACCCGGCACTGTAACCCGGCACGGTCACCGAGCGCGGTAACCCCGCACGCTCCGCGACCGGCAGCGATGGGAGGCGGCCCCGAGCCACCTCACGCCCTCGGGTGGCCTTGGAGGGGCTTGGAGAAGGGAGGAGCCGGACTCCACCTGCGAGGGATGACTGCCTGCCTGGCCCTTAATGGCAATTCCCCGCCAGCGGTGCTCCCCGAGGCCGCAGTGTCACGGCTGTGAGCAGAGGGAGCTTGTACACACACTGCCCATCCCAGAGGTGCGGGGTTGGTGTGGCGTGTGGAGCGCTCCGTGGGCATGCCAGGAATTCCCCGCCTGACCTGTTGTGCCGTACCTGTGTGTCGGCATGGCTCTGCTCGGGCTCGGCTCATCCGTGTAAGGCTCAAGGGAAGTCTCTCTTGTTATGCGGTTGAAACACCATAAAGGGAAATTGAAGCAAAGTACCTAGATTACAGGCAATGAAGGCATCAAGTCCTTAATTCTAGTATAAAAAGGGTTGGGGGAAAACTGCTAGTGGGAAATAAAGGGTGTCGTCTTGTTACAAGAGCTAAAACAGAGAGCAGTAACAACAGGACCCCATTACTCTGTGAAGTGGTTACTGAAGAGTCAACATGATAGTATTTTGGCGTTCATTTTGGTGAGACATAGTGGTAGAGATCAGATTACAAGTGATTACAAGTAAACTAATTTAAATTAAGTGGAAAATCAGGGACGTGATTACGGAGGAGGATAGAAATTTCTTCTACTCGGATATGGTAAAAGTATGTTGAACTTGTATTCCAAATAAGAAAAACAGTAGGGAAAAGGTTTTTCTCTCCCAAATGAATAAATAACTGTCTCAGAAAGCGTATGAGGCATACGTAGTGAGCCTTCAGGGAATAAAATGGAAAAGGACTAATCACCATCCAAAGTCAAGTGCAAAAGTCAAAAGGGTAAAAATGAAAACAAATGGAAAATATTACTTGGTGGTTAAATAAAGAATGAAAAAAAAAACACTAGGACATTGGAATAGGATAATGGAATAGACGGTATCTTCTCAACATTGCTCCGAAACTACAGAAAAGTTTATCTCTTGTCAGTGTAGGGATGGGGATGTTGAAGGTAATGTTAGAGGCAGAAGTGACTAAAAGAGGGAAATATGAGAGAGAAACAAATGCAGCCAAGAGGGAAGCAGAAATCACAGTGTTCAATGAATTTAGACTGGAAGATCAGGATTTGGGAGGTAAGCGTAAATAATTTCAGTCCCAGAATTCTGAAAGAATTGGGCTGTGTAATTGAAGGCCCGGGAACTGGGTTAATTTGTTGTGGTTTTTTGGTTTTGTAATGAAACAGATGCAGGAGAGTACAGTATTGTTTGAAAACTGCAAATATAATAGTCAACTGTGTTATTTAGCAGCTTAGCTGGATTCTGAATTAAGTGGGCAGTAGACATTGTAACACTGCAGTTAATTGTGAGGAAAGCCATTTTGAGTCTACTGGTTTTCAGTAGCTGGAGTATGGAGTTGGTGAATGAGACTGTACTGCTTCTGGGATCAAGTCTGCTCTGCAAATGGTTTAGGTGCCGCTCTTCAACACAAAGTCTGACCTGTAAACTCTGAACCAATGGCACAGTGAAGACACACTGGTTTTACACAGGACTAGTCTGAATACAATCTGGCCTGCACAGAGAAGCCAATGAGCCATCTCAGGCTCAAGTTGCTTCCAGAATGAAAGCATAGGCTGAATTTCTGAGAGTGGAGAAGGAATTCTGGGCCACCTGCAGAATGGTCACTTGCATAGCAAGAGAAGAACAAAGATAACAGAAAGGACACGACTGTCTTCTAAAATACTCTTTCTGTTACACAGCAGTCCTTGCAGAAATGCTGGAGTGCTTCTGTGTTGTGCTCCACAATATATTGCCTTCAAGACTGGCATGTTAGCCCAGTAGCACCCAAATCAGAATTAGCACTCCAGGCTTAGTCCTTCTGCGAAACAAAATCTGCATCATTAATTAGAGCATCAAAATTATCCAGGTTTTTCTCTTCTGTGGAGTATGTAATATGCTGACTGCACAAGATGGGAGATTAGCAGAAGAATTATAAGAGGAGTGAGAACTGAGTCAAAGGTGCTCTGTTATAGTTTGTTAAGAAAAAGGATGTTCTTGGACTGTAAGGAAATTTTTAGTAGACTTTCGTGAGAGAGAGCATATGTAATATTTTAGTTAATAACTTTGCACCAAAGATGAGATTGTGTATTAATTAAACTCTGATGATGATGTGGCTGAGGGTTATATGTGCTGAAAAGGATAAAGATATACAAGAAAAGATGAATGAGTAATAGATATGGATAGGTTTAGAATAGTAGATATGGATAACCATTAAATGTGGCACAAGTTGCAAAACGCTGAAGGCATGTGGGACTGAGGACTACTGACAACATATTCTGCTACAATCTGAAATCCATTCAGCGAGAAATATCAGAAGATTTTCTGGTTGTGGAAGTCCAGATGACAGCTGCCAATGAAAAAAAGACAGCTGTGGTTCTTCAGTGAATCAAGAATGTGTTCTACAAAGGAAAGAAAGCATTCACACTATTTTAGAGAGTCTTAGTGAGACCTTCAGCATACTTTCCCTGTGTGTTTATGGTCATTTCTTTTTGTTTCTGCAAGTTTTTGAGTACAGGGGCTACTAGAATGATTAACCTGATGGAGATTTTGCTGTAAGACAACAAACCTGTAGGAGTTGATTTATTTAGCAAGGGCTAAATATGAGAGGCTCTATGGGTGTGTATGAATATACTATGAGTAATTGATGTGGAAGTAAAAGAATCTTCTAAGACAGACATAAGAAAAAAATTGAAATAATTTCAGGTGAATAAATGCACGCTGGAAAGCAGAAGAAAATGGAAGGCATGGTTCTTGATTCTTTCCTTTGGCTGCTAGAGAAAACATGATAAAGTTATGAAAGAGTACTACATGACTGCTTATCTTAGCAGGGATAAGAGAGAAGAATAAATCAAGAACCTCTGTTCCAAAAAGTCTTTTTCAAGCATCTTTATAGAACCATATTATGAACAAGAAAGCAAAGAAAAAGTGAGTACTTTCTCTTCCCCCAAGCCACCTTATGGGACTCAACTTCACCTTATTTTATTATCTTAACCATTTTTGTTACCTTAACCATTATAGTATGTCCCTGCCTGGGTGTAATCTGTGTCTGTTTTCTGTTTAAGGTCATTGTCAACATGTAATCTTGAGTTCATTAAAAAAACCCGTGCTCTCAGTTATACCTTTTAGGCTGTAGGAAACCTTCTGTCAACTTCATAATTTGCAAAGCTGTAAGGCATACACTGCTCCTAATTAGATTGGTCAACAGTTGCACATTTCACAGAAAATATAAAATAAAAATCTCTAAGTCAAAGAACTTGCACAGCTTGATTATTTATCTTCTTGTGCATCTTGAAGTCTTCTTTTCATCTGTAAGAAATCAAATTTCTCTTTTTACTGACTCATTTTCCTAGTCTCTATGTTCTGTGTCTACTTCAGCTTGTCCAGTACAGAAGATAGTAAGAAACTCATTGTGGTTCTTCTGAATCTCATCACCGTGGTTTTCATTTTCATATACAGTTCCTAAGATATTTAAATCTAAAGTTCAACATTTTATGTTATCCTTTTAGGGGAAATTCATGCCCTCAGATATGGTCAAGAAAGAAAAGAAAAGATAAAACTTTTCCTCACTTGGTTCAATCATTCCAGCAATTTAAGAACAAGGTCAGTTGTTGTCTGCATTTATTTCAGTGGGTTGAATGCAGCTTCATTTGTGCTTAGGAACAAGAAGTGCTGATAAATACTTTATGAGGTTCAAAGCAGTTTCAAAAAGTGGTCATCTTCAGAGAGATTCTACTTCAATAAGAAATTATCAATCTACTTTAGGAACTAATGGACAAAGTTTTATGTTCTCTTACACAAGAAGTCAGATTTTGTAGCTTTAAAGTCACTTCCAATTTCAAAATAGATAATCTCTAGTTTTTTTGTATCTCTTGAGTTATGACTAGCTGATATGTGAGTATTTTCATATAGGATTTTAAAAGTGTTAAGCAAAGGAAAATTTGTGCCATTATGGAAGATAAAAGACCACTTAATTTAATCCGCAATTACAGAATCGCTGATTAACAGAAGTCTTCTCTTGAGGCCTACCTTAGGAAGTAATTTGGCTCTTAAAATTTTCGTAAGATTTGGAACAGAGGATTGTTACTAGTGGTAAAGAGCTGATTACAAAGATGCAGGAATTGTAGGACATCTTTTTCTTATTACCAAACAAAAAGAACTGTTTTCAGAATTTGTATTTCTTAGAACTTTGAAGAAAGTCTTGGAAAATGGAGCCTAAAGGTGACACCTAACTGTTCCAGATAATGGACTGGTCTAGAGGTTGCATCTTATGATGGAGGCCTGAAAAGTTTTTGTTTGTTTTAAATTTATTGTGTTTGAGATCTTCTTTCTCTCTTCCCTGGGAAATCACCTTGTACTTGAAGAATTTTCAGCATTTGCATTTATGCTAAACCTCAAAGATGTGTCAACCTTCTTCAGCTCCAGTATTAAAGAAAGTGCACCACAGAACACAAACACCCTATAGGCTTGAAACAGTTAGGTGACTGTATGAGTTACAGGATCTGGCAATTGCATGTTTTGAAAAGGTCAGCCATTGCATTTTGAAGTAATAGTTACAGTGTCACAACTAATTGTCTGCCTTTACCATTATAGTTTTCTTCCAATTAGAAAAATAATATGGGTCATAATATATAGTGGGGCTGGCAGTTCAAGAACTTGAGCTCCATTATGTCACCTAGCAACTTAATATGCTTCCAAATAAACAGCCTTGTAAGTTTTATAATAGCCCAAACTTTCAAGTCCTTTCTTTTTTGTCCAAAGTTTTACTTTTCATAGACTTTACTTATTCTTGGCAACTATCATGCCATTTGGCTGAGATAATGATT